CACCCCCCTACCAGCCCCTTTGCTTGCCCGGACTGGGCGTGGGGTTAATTCTGATTTCTGGCTGTGGCAGGGGGTGAGATCAACCATTGCTGGGCTGCTCCAGCTGCGGCCACTCTCGCCTCATCCCTGGATTTGTTACTCCGTTCTCACAGCAGTACCTGGTGGTGCCTCCCAAACAACCCCAGGTGCACTACAATGGTTCTGTGACTCCACACACAGTCTCGGCACTGAACACCCAGTGGGCACGGGGGACCTTCCACACAAACCCAGCAGCTCTGGGGCTGCTCTGGGGCTGCTCCAGCCGGGCCCTCTGCCCGAGCTGAGGCTCAGGAGCCACTGGAGCCTTTGAGCTGCCGGGCTCGCAGCTGAGCTTGTTCCCCACTGTGCAGCCACACAGCCCCCTGTGCCAAACACTGCCCATTCCACAGGCTCGGCTGATGGAGAGGCACTTCCAGTCCAATCCCTGAGGTGGGATTTCCATTCTCCCACAACAGCTGAGCAGTGACCGATCCCTCCACAACATCCCTCCTCCCAAGGGCCCCAGACCAGGAGGTGCCCTCAGACCCCTGCCCAGTCCCTGGTCCTGCTGGGAGATCCCCCAAGGCCACCTCTGGGGCTGCCACATGGTCTGAGGGTCTGAGGATGCCATCCCACTCCCACAGCAGGGTTCAGGGGCTGCTGTGACCCCGGGGGCACCCCAGGGGTGCTGGGTTGGGCTCCAGAGCTGGGGGTGTCCCCAAGCCACTGGCACAGCTCGGGAAGGGGGGATGCACCCAATGCTCAGGCTGTCAGATCTATCAGTAAAACTGGGGGAAGGAGAGGGGGGCTGGCAGCAGCTCGGGGTGACCAGCACCGGGGCAGGATGAGTCCGTGGCACCCAAGTGCAGCGTGTGGCAGGAGGGAGCTGGGCCACTCGGGGTCCTGCCACCAGACTGCCTGCACTTCATTGTGCCAGGGACAAAGAGCCCGTCCACTTTGGGCTGAAAACTTGTGTTAGGAGAGCTGCAGCAAAGGGAAGTTCTTTCCTTTGCCTGGAGGAGGAGCACACATCCAGTGAAGAGCTGTGCCCTGCCCAGCTCCGGCATGGCCAGAACCTGCACTCGGCAAAATGAAAGCTGTGGAAAAGCCACTGGAAGAGCAAGGTGCAGAAGCCCCCTGTGAGCAAGAAGCCTGCACGAGTGGGCAGGACACAGGGCAGGAACAGCCGAGGGCCCCCAGCCCCTGGGAGAGGGCTGGGCTGCTCTGCTGGGGCCTTTTGCTTCCTTTGTAGGGAAGAAGAAAGCATCAGGCTCCAACACCTACCCCAGAATACCCTTCCTGCCCCTGGCCATGCACTGTGGGATGGTGAAGGGAGATATGTAACTATTTATTGCTCACTTCTGTGATTCTTCAGAGATCAGTGTGGGACCTGCCCTAACCTTCCCTGAAGCACCGTGGTGAGGAGCTGGGGCAGGTGGCACCAGCTGAAGTTACCAAAGATGGAGCCAGAAGGAAAACAGCCGTTCACATATCCTGGCTTGAGGTTTCTGGAACGGTCAGTTCAGTGTTTTTGTTCCAGCCCTCGGGTACATCAAGGTGGGGGCACCTTAGGAAAGGCACCAGAGCGGCTGCAAAGGTGGAATCACAGGGACACTGCAGGGCCCCTGCCAGGGAACCAGCCCCTGCACTGCAGCAGGAAGCACAGAAACACAGACAGGCTCCTCCTCATTCCCCCATGGGGAGCTCAGAGAGGGTCCACGGGGACCTGGCTGGATGGCACTGACAAACCCACTCTCTTCCCCAGGCCTCCTGCAGCCATCCCAGTTCCCCAGGGCTCACTGGGCACATCGCCCTCTCTCCCTGCTGCCCAGCTCCTCTCCAAATCCAAACCTGGGAAGTCCCAGCCCTTCTCTCCCATCTGCCTGGACAGCAGAGCCATCCCTCACACTCACAGGACTCCATGCCACACCTGGAGCGCGTGGTCCTATCCCTGCAGCTTCCCTGTCCTGCTGGCGGGTGCCTGGAGCAGCTGGGGGCCCACACCCGAGATGGGAAGTGACCAGAGAACACTGGCACTGCAGGACCATCCATCTCCCTTCAACAGCTGTTTTTCCACATTCTCATTCCCCGTGCTGTTGAGATGCCGTGTGATTTCCTTCCCTAGAAGCCAGTGTGCTGTTCCCAGAGCTGCTGCGGTGCAGAGGGTGTGCAGTTCTGCTGCCTCTGTCTGCTACTGCCCTGGGAAACAGCTCTGGAGAATTTCAACCAAAGCTTTGAAAATACTAAAGATTGACTAGTGCAAAGGTACTAGATAAGAATCTTTAAAATTTATTGGACTAACTGTGTTACATTCAATATTTGATGTGTTTCTCCTGGACAAAGAATTGGCATAAATACAAACAAGCCTTTGTGTGCCTTCCCTAAACAAATAAGAGATAAAGTACTAGAGACAAGGGAACATAGTTCACATCTTCATATTTACATTTTGCCTTTACTTTACAACTTAGCGCCAGGAATATTTACAGAAAAATACAATAAGAACAAAAAGTTCATGTCTTGGCAACATACAGGTATTCATACAAATTGTCTATGATTGAAGCACATGATATCTGGCGTTCTCACTTCTAATTGCTCCTGCTAAACCCGTGGGGAAAAGGGCTGTGTTTGCCTTCGGAGACATCACTCAATTACACAATCATGGAATAGCATAAAATTTGTCCGTGAGGCTGAAATTTGGTTCTCTCCTCTTCCTGGGCACTCAGAACCTTGTGGAAGGAAGCGCCGTGACCTGTGGAGAACCCAGCACCGAGCCCAGGGGCGGCCAGGGCTGCTCCTCCCCACGGCCTCGCACACGCCCCTACCCAGACACCCAAATTTCCACGGGCACCGTCCTCCCCTTCTCCTGCCTGCTGTAAGGTTCTAATGCCTTCTTAAAATTAGCTTTAAAAAAAATGCTTTTCTTTTAAAAAAATCTCTATTAAGGAACTAAAATGTCTGCAATTTCAAAACTGCTTAACAAGGTGATGGTGGTCACCCCTCCTGCTCTGTTCAAACAGAATTACCACCCCAAATGGAAAGGTTTGATGAAAAGAGAAAGTCTCAATTTGGTTATTGTGGAACACTTGCAGCTCAGTGCCACCTGCACGCAGGTCAGTGAGGGGGTCAGTGTTTGTCACCTCTGATGGACAGGGACACTGACTCAGATCAATCAAGCATTAAATCAAACCCCCCTGCAGCAGTTTGTGATGTAAAAAATCCCTCTGGATTCCTGACTAACTTGCAAACACCACGGAAATAAAACCTCATTTGCTCTGACACTTTATGGGGAAAACTCAAGGCTGTACCCTGGACGAGCTAGAGCGGCCAGACGTCAACAGCGGATGGATAGAATTCCCAAATTGGTGGCATGCATTTTGTTATGAACCTGAGAGCTCCACACACACAGGAGAAGGAGGGACAGTCCCTGCAGGCACCCTCCAGTGGCACAGCTCTGCCCGGGGTGCCCACTGCTGCCACCAGCACCCAACCCCGGGGGATGGCAGCGCATTCCTGCATCCCAGTGTTTTCATGCTGCACTGGGACTCTGAAGAAGGTTCACCTTTCCAGAGGGTAAATCCCCCCACTTACAGCCAGGCCCCAGTGCCAGCCTGTGACCTGCTCCCCAGCTGGTTCTCCATCTCATCTGACAGAGGGTCTAAAGGCCTGTCCCCTAGTTCCCTCCTTTGCAGACTCTGCCAAGTCCCATTGCTCTCCTGGCTGTTACTGCTCCCGTGGGTGCCAACCCCACACCTCATACAAACATGGAAACAGACTGAAGACGACCCTCCAGCCAAGCACAGGCCTTCTTTAAAAAGCAAATCCTCAGGCAATCCAGTTGGCAATCTTTGACTTGCCAGAACTCCCTCAGGGTTTCCCCAAATGCCCCTCTCTGCGTTCCTGCCTGCATCCTGCCAGCAGCACGTGGTGCAGCTCAGTGCAGCAGCAGGACTGTCACACTCTGCTGAGGAGGGGGCTGCTGTTATGCTATTGCTGTGCAGACAGGGGGTTGCTCAGGATGTTTACACAACATGCATCGCTCATGCCTTTCAAACCAGTGGACTAAAGTGTGTTTGGCCATTAACTGCATCCAAGGGGTACAGACAGAGTGTGGGTAAATTTGGTGTCTGTGCATTAAACTGCTGCTGGCAGGAGCCTGGCAGAGGAACGAGGCTGTCCAAGGCTCCCTGCACAGCTTGGCCAGTGCACCCCAATGCTGCCTCGGGGCTCCTCCTGCCATGTGCCAGCGGGGCAGCACGCAGCCTGCTTCCTGCTGCAGGAGTTTTCTTTGGGTGGTTTCATGTTTTCACTTTTGATTCATCTGGATCAAATTAGAGCTCCTGAGTTGAGAAGTCAGTGCACTTGTCTCCTGCAACAAGCACACATTGCCTAAAACCTGCTTGGCTGACAACCTGAAAGCCCTTTCCCATATATTTTTAGGGGCCTGTGTTTCCATGATCTCTTTGTGAAAAAGCACAGGGAAAGCCAGGAGCAAGGTCTGTCCTTGGCAGCTAATGAAACAATTAAGACTGCTTCAGGTCAGAACTGTTGCAAAAAGTAACTCTGAAACATCAAAATTCAGTGCCCCACAGGTATTACTGCAACGCACAGCATGGCTAATAAAACCACTGTTGAAATGATGCGAGGAGCTCCCCCCGTTCCTGCTCTCAGTCATCCTCTTCCACTTCCCGGTGCTGGCAGGGTAAGGACCTTTGCTGCTGCCAGGGACCAGAGGCTGCACCTCCCCAGGAGCGCCTGCCACGATCCACTGCTGCCACCCTGGCTGGGATGCACCGGCAGAAGGAGGGTGCTCCCAGGGCTGCCAGCGCCCAGGGCACCTCTGAGGCTGCCAGTGCCACACCCGTAGCTGCAAACACCTTTTCCCAGCACATCCTCCGAGTCCTGAACACGACAAATCCAGGGGCTGAAAATGCAAACTGCTGACCCAGCGCAAGGGGAGCCGAGTGTGGGAACGTACGGGAGACTCAAAACAATGGGAAGTTTGAACTCCAAAGGAGTTGCAGTTAATGGGGAAAAAGAAGAATTCTTGAATTTTCTTTTCAAGTTGTTTTAGTCTGTTTAACAGGAGCTTCTGAAAAGTGTTGTAGAAGCTGCGAAAACTGCTCGTGCTATAAATAACAAGGAGGAGGCAGCCCCGGAATCTCAGATTTCAATCCAATGGAAGGAAGGCAAGTGATGTTTATACTTTTTATGGAAATGGTGAGTAGGTGATACAGACACTTCAAAATAAATTAAGTAGTTGCATAAAAAAAAAAATTAAAAAAAAAATAAAAATCAAGCTACTGAAATTAAATGTGACATTTTGCAACAGACCTGAAAGTCACAACCTTGCTTTTATATAACCAAAAGCTTCTATCCAGTACCAACTCCCGTTGGAAAGTCAGTTAATTTCAGGTGGTGGTTGCTGTCAGCAGGACAAATCTCATGCAGATGGACTGGAGGGAATGGCCACATACAGCATCTGGGCTTTGGATTTCAGGGCCTGGCATTTCCAAGCAATCTTCCTCTTCTTGCTTTTGGTACACAAATGGATTGCAAGCAGTGAAGGATCTTCTGTTGAGTGCTGAAGGGGGACTGAACGTGTCTTAGAAGTTCTTGCAGAGATGGTTAATGCTCTGAAACAGACTTCTCCCCCAAGGAGAGATCCTGCTCCCTTCCCCTTGGACACGTGGGTGCAGCGAGGTGTTTGATGGCAGGTTTGTTTGGATTCTGTTTTCCATCCTCATATGCAGAGATGGCTTTACTTTGATTGTTTTCCCCTCAGAGTGAGACACCTACAGTTCCTAATTAGTCTGGAATGGATGACTGGGTGAAGAGATTACGTTGCTAGCATCCAGGAAGACTGGAATTCAGTAATCTTTTGAGGGTAGGTGAATTAAGTCAATATCCCAACTGCAATGTTTTGGATTCATTTCTCATTCCTCCCACATGGTATCTGCTGACTTGTGCTAGAACATGATTTCCTGAATTCCAGAGGGCTGAGGAAATTTGTTGTTGTTATTTAACTGTTTTCATTAGTGTAGCCACCAAGCTCTGATCTAATTGTCCTGGAAGGATAGTGACCTAGGGGTTGCAGTTCTTGAGCCCAACCTCCTGGAAAAGTGAGGTATAAAACTCCGGCTCCAGCTGCCTGTTCCGGTATTTATTGACAATATCTGCTATTTTCTGTTTTCGGCGGACGTGGGGGGGGTTGTAGGAATCACTTTCCAGCCTCTTTCTCCGACAAATATTTATCACTGTCTGCCTCACTAAAAAACCTGAAAAAGAAATAACATACGAATCAAGTTTCAGTTCAGGCCTGTGCCCCTTCGCTGGCTTCCCAGCTACACACAGTTCTGGGGTCTGTCCCATCTAAACCCAGGGGAGATGTTCAGCACCACCAGGTCAAGAGCTGTTCTCCATCAACAGGGGACAGCAGAGTCACAGACCCTCGGCCTGCAAGGACCTTCACTGGGAAAAAGAAACAAGCACTGACTCAGTGGTACCCAAAACTGGCTGGAGGAGGAGCAGAAGGATTTCTCAGCTCTGCCAGGGCCAAGCAGCTGTAACAGCACCCTTGGGAAGAGAGGGCAAAGGATCCAGGGCAGGCAATATAAAAGTCACGGTGCCACAGCCCTGGCCACGCCACACGGGGACATCAGAGTTCAGGGGGCCCTGAGGTCACCCCAGGTAATGCCAGGGGAGCCCTGAGAATGAAACAGGTGCCTGCCAGTACTTTTTTCCAGTAGGAATTGTGGTCTCCCACTTGGAAAGGGGATGAGGAAAGACCTGCTGGGTTGTGGTTGGAACTGGTCTCTCTTGCCTTCACTGCCTTGCCACTGCTCTCACCCCTCTGTAACTCACACTGTGGATGTGGAGGAAGGAGGAGGTGGGGAACAGAAGCAGTAGCATTTGGCCAAAACTGGCAGTGAACTTTCTCTTATTTTATTTTGAAATGAAATTCCTATGCCTCTAAGGAAGGAAGTGTCCCTTACCCCCTTTGCTATTTCACAAGCTCTTTCTGACAGGCTAAACCAGTCTTCCTTATTTAGAGGACTTAATTTCTGACTGCATACAAATCACAGCTGCTGAACTGTCACTATATTAACAGTCAATGATGCAGCTGAAAACAAACCCTACTCCAGGAAAACATATCTGATTCTTTTTCAGTAAAAGCCACTGCCATCAGCTGAATTCATAAATGTTATTTAGGGTTCAGTCAGGCTTTAATTTCCCCAGTGCTGAATTAAGCATGCAAACCCCAGAACCTGAAAGTCATCTCCTACAAAGCAGTTTTATGGCCAGGTACAGGTACTGTAATGCTCTTCATGTTGCTCTGCCCCGTGAACTGCTCTCACTGGGTGAGATTTCCAGTTGCTGAAGCTAAGTGGCATCAATACCAAGATAGATCCATCAATCCATCCAGGAACAGAGGAAAGGGCAGAGGACACACACCCTGTTAACAGATGCCTGCATGGCATTTTTACTGAACACATCGGAAAATCTTCAGTTGCTGTGGTTTTAACCCCTGCTTGGCTCCTGCTGAGCACGGCAGCACAGTCAAGCACTCACACCGTGGTTCTCGGTGCAAACAGCAGGGTCACCTCTGGGATCTCTCCCTCATGAACAAGAGGCCCCGTTGCAATCGCGGCCCCTCTCGGGCCGTGCTGGGAGCCAAGCACTGTCCACCTGCTCCCTCTGCTGTTCTGCTCCCGCCGCTGCCGCAGCAACCCCGGCTTTTGTTTGTCCTGCCACGGCCAACACCTTTTCCAAGGAAAGATTCCAGACCGTGTATTTTGCAGACATATTATTATTAAAAAGAAATAAAAGAAATACATGAGCCTTCCTAAAACCCTTTAGCTTACCAAGAGCTCTCCTACTGACTATCATTCCATCCACCAGTGGGATGACCATGTTGAATTTCCCGGTTGCTCCTTGTAGTTTTATCCTGAATAAGCCAGTGTTTAAAGGATGGATGAAGATCACAGGAACTTCCTTCTCAGGAATGGTAGATCTTAAGGAAAAAACCACAACTGTTAAATCGGTTTTACAGCACTGTTTCAATTAATCTGTAGAAGAAAAACGTCCACTTTAAGTGCTCAAGGTAAAAAATGCCTCGTGGCTAAGGCAGCAGGATCCTGGGGTATGCTCTGGACCTTAGGAAGGCCCCATCAGTGGTAGAGTGCCTGTGATCTGCTGTCTCCACAGGCTGGAGAGCCCTGCAGCCCGGGCACAGTGTGTACACAGCACTAACCACCTCACCAGGGAGGGAATCAGGAGGGAGGCTCATCACAGACTCAGATAAAACAACACATTTTCTGCTCCCTAATTTATGTTTTATCCACAGTGATATGAAAAGCTCTTTCATGTTTTCCACCAGAAAAGTCCACTGAGGAATCAAGAAAAATAATGAAAATAAGAGCAGTCTTACCTCAGGGAAGTGCTACTGTTGGCTGTGGTTTCCACACCAGTGCTTGTCTCAGACACCAGATCAGGGAGGGGGAAGTTTTCTGTAAGAACAGGATGCACCAAATAAAGTTTATCTACTCCAGGTTTCTTGTGTGTGCAGGGAAAAATTATTTATCACCAGTCAAAACCACACAGCCCTCAAGCATTTATACCATGGATGTTCTTGCATGGTAGCATCCTTGTTTTTAAGTTTAAGCATTCATTGGAGGGCACAGACACACCTCAGCCACCTGCACTCAGAGGAGTCCCAGATCCTCCATTCTCTCAATGCAAAGGTCAAAATCTCTGGAGGAACTCTGAAAGCAGGAACGAGATGAGCTACTGCAATCACAAGAACAGCTTTCAAATTATTTTTCGCAGCATCTCCACCCATCCACAAGTAATCAGCCTCAAGAACAGTGCTAAGAGGGTCAAACAATGCCACCACTCACACCTACAGTTCCCTTGAGCCCTGCTCCCCCACACACAGTATCCTTCCTCAAATCCAAGCTCCGTGGATCCCCACCATAACCTACAAGTATAACCATAACTCTGCTGCCACGCTGGATAATGAAGGTGCAGGAGGAGGAAGTTAAGAACCTGAATGCCTGGAAAGGGATTTAGCACTTCCCATCACCTCGTTGGGGTGAGAGATGTTGAGGGTCCTTCACAAAAGGACAGTCTGAGCAGCAGGACAGCGCTTCCACAGAAAGAGTCTAAGGTCCAAAGCCAGATTTTGCCATGAGAGTGGTGCTGCTAAGGGTACTCAACAGCTGGAGCAAGAGAGGGAGAGCGTGGGGAGCCATGGAAACACCCTGAGACGGAGCAAGAGGCAGGGCAGGCAGCTGGCACTGGGGTTATACCCTTGACTACAAAGTGACAGCTTTTCCACTGTCCAGACTCTAAGATATACAAGAAGCATAAGGCAAAAGCCAAGAACATAAGGAGCATATGGCAAAGCCCCTGGGCTAGGAGCCACTTCCAAGAGGTCCCCCTCCCTCCATCCAACTGCCACTCTCACTGAGGCTCACAAACTCATTTCTTCAGCTTCAGGCCCAGAACTCTGGGAGATTCCTACGGCTGCTGAAAGAAGCAGCCAAGCAGAAACATGCCTGTGTAGCACAGTTGCTGCCTCTGCAGTGAGTTGGCTTTAGCTGCTACCCAAGAAGGAAGTGGGTCAGGGACACCAGTTTAGAAACTGAAGTGGGCGAGGGACTCCTGAAGACAAAGGAACACCCTCTGGGCCGATGTCCGGACAAGGAAATGATGCTGCAGAACTTGCTGTCTCCTGATCCCAGGAAGGCTCTGAGGGATGTGGACAAGGTGGGCTTCCTGAGAATTTACATTTACCCTTCACAGGAAGCTTCCTCTTGATTGCTCCCACTCTCTTGTTGGCTTTACTCTGGAAGGAGCTAAGGGCTTAATTAAGGTCCACTCTTACTGCCAGACTGGGAACCAGGATTAGAAATCAAAGACAGTAAAGCATCAGTAATTACTGGTCTGTGTTGCAGACACTGGTGAGCGAGGCCAGTGCAGAGAGACTCTGGCTGAGGCCAGGCCATGGTTTGGAACCAGCACTCAAAAAGCTCTTGGGGACAAAGGACTCCTCAAACCTAGAGTCAGCTGCCCACCATGGCCACTCCATGGCTGTAACACAATGGGCAAAGCTGGGTCTCCCCAGACAACCAGAGTCAGAGAGGAAACACCAAACTAAGAAACATGAAGCTGCAGGAGGAGCAGGACCCTGCCTGAGCAAGGGCAGGGAAGGGAGCTGGGATGCACAGCATGGAACAGGCACCCTGAGTGCAGAACAAATGAACCCTCTTATGAGAGAGAACATGGAGAGTTTCAAAAGCAAAGAAGATGATGATCCCTTCAGCACAGAAGCAGCAGGTGTCAGAAGCCATTTTTGTTAAAGGAAACCACATTCACTCTGAGGAGACAGCAGCTGAGGGGAGCAGGGAGGCACACTGCCTTGTGTGCCGAGCTTAGGAAGGTTCATGACAGCATTTCACAGGCACTGCCAGGGATAAAGGGAACTTCAGACCTACATATGCTACTGATTCATCTACACCCCATAGACTGCCATTCAAATATCAGAGAACTGATTCAGAATCTTAGAAGTGTTGTTACAGGCATTAATACGGATTTATTTTTATTGTGAGGGTGGGCAGGCCCTGGCACAGGTTGCCCAGAGAATCTGTGGCTGCCCCATCCCTGGAAGTGTCCAAGGCCAGGTTGGACGGGGCTTGGAGCAACCTGGGCTGGTGGAAGGTGTCCCTGCCCATGGCAGGGGGCTTGTACTAAATGACCTTTAAAGGTCCCTTCCAACCCAAACCAGTCTGTGGTTGCATGATCTAGCATTTGATAAAAGAAGGGAACGGTTTTTGCTCTAGTTACTTCAGGGAACAGTAAGAACTCGTACGCACCGATATCATCGTAACGTTCCACCCAGACCACGTACACTTTGGTTTCAGGTCCCATCGGTGGAATGGTCCGGCCCTGAGGCGTCCTCTTGGATCTGGAAGTAGGACTGAGCTGTTTTGAACACAAGGGTAACATTTGCAAACACCATGAGTCCAATAATGCAGCCAACAACTATTTCCCAGCTGCTCCCCAGTCATGCACATCCCAGTCAGGTACAGCCTCTACCAGCTCTTGAGTCAGGGCAGCTGGTGCTGGAACCCACTGCAGTCTGGGTTTCTACTCTACTTATATTCAACACAAACTTATATTCAATCTTGCATCAGTTAAAAAATTTTCCTAATGTTCTCAAAGACCTTAAATCAGTAACTAAATATACATTTGGAAGCGAATTCTAAACAGGCAATCAACAGTTGTAAATCCTTTGCTTACAGATACAACAGTTCATGGTTTTCTGCTCTGTTACAGTGCAAAAGCAACCTCACATCTGGTACTTCAGACACAACTGACACACTGTTTTAAACTGGGCAGGTAGGAAAAGTGTTCACATCTATCCATCCTGTTTCCAAGCATGGATTTGTGTCTTAATTACTCTGTAAATACTGCACATACTTTTTCCTGCCCGCATTTCAGGATGCAGAGTATTACTAAGCACGCTTAAGTTTTACACTTGCAATGTAATCTTGCAATCTCCTACTGTTGCTGCAAATTCTGGCCCAAAGCAGACAAGGACTAATGGCAAGGAACAAGGAGCTCTACACCCCAGGAAACCAAATCATATACTATCGAAAATCCTGCAGCATTGCCTCTGTGCTTCTTGAGAGAAAAAGAAAAAATAAGTTATTTTTCAGTGCAAGTTTTGCCTTACCCGCTGTGAGGGATTAAGATTGTCTGTATGGTTGGGGAAGAGTTCAAGTGTCAGAGGCTGCTGCTTCAGTATTCCTGGCAGCAGATCCATGTTGGAGTCACTTTCCTGGTCAGAGACACTGCTTTCCAGTGAATCAGCTGTAAGCCAGAAGAAAGAGGTTTGTCTACTCTCCTGCCAAAAAAACTTCACTGCCATCATGTGTAAGATTTTGAAACTAAAAAATGTTGTAAGGCTTTTGAAACTAAATATAAATGGATGTATGGCCAAGTCACTATAGCACCCATAAACAGGAAGAGGAGTCAGGAGACAACAACTGCCAATTATTCCAGAAACAGACTGCAATTAAAGCATCCCCCATGGATTCACCACTGTCCCAGCAATTTTCTATGGAATACAGTCTCCTCCTCATGTGTCTACACCCCTTTTATTCCAGGCAACTCTTGCACATCAGTTTTAGTGTGTCAAGGATGCCATGAAACGTGCTGCTTTCCTGCAGAGCAGTGGTGCACGTGCAGGAGCAGTCATTGGCAGGAAAGGGAAAAAAATACACATCACCAGCTGCTGGTGAACCACACAGGCAACAGCAACACTGCTGTGCAGCCCTGGGATCTACTGAGGCTCACACTGAGAGAGGGACACAGAACAGGTGCCACCTCAGGAAGGAGTCTAAGGACTAGGATGCTGTAATTTAAAAGTCCACAGCTTTCTGACAATGGTCTTGCTAAACACACTACTAGGTAGCTTATTAAGGTTTTGTTTCTGGCAAAGCTCTCTAACAAAAAATGTTGGTTTCATTTTTGTGAAGAGCATGTACAGAGATCTTACTCAGGGACTCCACCGGCGACGGGACAACAAAGGCGATTTCTGTCAGGGCATCTGCATAGTACAGCACCTTCTTCTGCCCGTTGAAGATACTTGCCCCAACATCTTCTGAGATAACCAGATCCTCTGAAATGGACAGAAAAGGACAGTTCAGCCAGAAGGAAGCACAAGGTGCAGTCAATGAGAAAAAATCATGCAAATCGCATTTTAAAATTCAAGGATTTCACAGTCCCATCTCATGGCTAACCACCCTTCTCAGATAAAGGTTTTTGCTTTTTTGAAGGAAAAGGCATTTTGGGTTGGGAATGGCTTTATGTTGAACACACTTCTAATGTACTGGATTCCTTATTTCCTAGTACTCTAGTCAGCACATCTGTCACAAGAATATACCTACCATCTATTTCTGAGCATTCTCTCTAGCAGGATCATTCAAGTTAGTAATTCCATTCCCAAAGGATTCTAACATTTGTAACTCCAGTCTGATACTATTCTAGAATTCAATTCAGCTTCTACAGACTCTCCTCAGTATTTTCTCTGTCAAGTGTTAGAGAAAGATCTGTCTCCAATCCATGCAAGGAAGCTCCTCATTCTGAGCCCCCACTGATTCCTCATCACAGCTGGCCAACACAGGCCTTCAAATACAGAAGGAACCTCCCTCCCCTTTTTTCCTTCCTCATGTCACCTCCAGAAAGACTAGCAAGGACTTTGAAATGCATTACTTCTCTGTTCCAGTTTCCAGAAGGGTTCCTGGGATAGCTGCCTCAGCAAAGCCACAGGAGCAGCGAAATTCAGCACGCTGAGGAGTGGCCACAGGCACACCAAGGACTCCAAGCCATGCTTCACCATCAGGGAAATGTTCCCACATCTCCAGTGCACAGCTCCCAGGGAACAGCACCACAACCCAAACCCGGCTGTTTAAGAACTTTGCTTTTGGGGGTGTGCAGGGAAACATGCCTAGGAAATTATTTTCATCACAACTCACTGCAAGCTATTCTAGAATCACAGAATCATGCAGGTTGGAAAAGATCTCCAAGATCATTAAGTCCAGCTGTCAACTCACCACTGCCAAGCCCACCTCTAACCTATGTCCCCAAGGGCCACATCCACAAGGCTTTGAAATCCCTCCAGGAATGGTGACTCCACCACTGCCCCAGGCAGCTGTGCCAGGGCTGGACAACCCTTCACAACCTGAGGACATTTCCTGTCACTTGTTACCTGGGAGAAGAGACTGAACTAGACCTGGCTTCACCCTCCTGTCAGGGAGTTGTAGAGAATCAGAAGGTCCCCCTGAGCCTCCTTTTCTCCAGGATGAGTCCCCCCCAGCTCCCTCAGCCGTTCCTCATCAGGCTTGTGCTCCTGACTCTTCCCCAGCAGAACCAGATCAGCAGTAAACTGCCCTCCCTCCCTTGCATTTCTGAATGCCTTTTGTGTCCCTTCTTCCCCCAGTTAGTTGAATTAATTCAGCTATTTGGTGGTCTGTGATCCCATTCAAATGGCTGAAAAAAGTCCAAGTTAAAAAGCCCACATCAAACCAGGTCCCCCACTAATTCAGGGCACTGCCTTCTGCACAGTCACACCGACAAATCCACTGCCAAGGGAGGGGAGAGGGCTCTGCCTCTGAGGAGAGCACATTCTGACCCTGCATTAATGCAAAATTAAACCCAGACCTGGCCATTCTGTAACCCATCCTGACCTGCTCAGAGAAGGCCATGCCTGTTCTCTAACCCCTCCCCAGCATTTCTGGCCTTCTATGGTTTGCATTTTATTCCATAACTGGAGGGACGAGCCTTCAGCTGGTGAAGGGCATTCCTAAGGCACAGTGAAGAGACAGCAGAGCAAGTGCTGCTTCAGCACCTGCAGCTGTACCAGTGTCACACCTGATACAAATACAAGGTCAAGTACAACAAAGGAGGTGGGACCAGCCTGTTCCCTGCCTTTGGGTGGCCCCCAGCAGAGGCTGCAGCTCTGGAGGTCACCAAGAACGGGCCTGGCCCTCAGAGCAGTGACACTGAAACCATCTCAGACACTATCAATTCCTGGGAATCTGATCAGGTTGTCCAGGGCAGAAGCTAACCCAATTCGAACTTTCCCACCCTGGGACAGCAACTCACTGCCCTGAGGATCATTCTGGGTGACAGAATGGGGAGAGGGTGGTGCATGACAAGCCCAGGGGAGGAGCTGCTCCAGTGGAAAACAGCAGAGCCAGTGAAGCAGGACAGAGGAGCTGTATGTGGCCTCCAACTTCTGGGACCTACAAACAGCAGCTTGTTTTCATTCCTTCCTACCAAGCACAACTACAAGGCTAACTTTTGAGTCAATATCCCATTTTAATCTACTTACAGAACACTAATCACATAGTATTTCAAGCCTATTTGCCAGTACACAGCACAATCTGCAACCAATTTCACCTGAACAGTGGTTTGGGATAATACAATAAAGACTCATCAACTCTGCTAAAAATACAGCCTGGAGGTATTTCTTGCTGAGTCTACTTCCTCTCAACAACATACAGATGTTTACACATTTCTTTCTAGTAAACATCAGTATTTATAAAAAAAAAAAAAAAAGCCAGTGTTCAGACAAGGAGAAAGAAAATTTAAACTGTCTTCTAAAGGAACCTAAACATTTTAATTTAATATTATAGCATTTACTACATCTTACCTTGTTCAGGTCCCTCTTCATCACTATTGCAGCTGTTGATTGACCAGCTTGTTGAGACATGACCAGTCCACCCAGGATGCTTCCCAACATCAACAGACCAGCCAAGAGACAACAAAAACTCCAGGAAGTGGGGCTGAACAATTCTGGAAGACTCCATGTTCTTCAGGATCTGAAACAACCAGCAGCAACCATGTTGGCAGAGGAGCAGGAAACAAGTCTCTTCCTGCCCAGCTTTTTAATTAACATTTTTTGTCACCAACACGCTTTCGCCCAAATGCAATTGCTTGTACAAAACAAGCCTGGAACCCCAGACTTTCTCCATGGACACAACTCCCTGCTGCCCAGCACCCTTCTATCCTGCTTGGCCATGTCCTATCCAATCAACTTGACTATCTGCTAGCATTTTCAAAGCCTGTAAAACAGTGAATCAAACTGCTGGAAATGGCAAATTTTGAGACTCAGCCACTCATCAGGAACAAAACACAGAGTGTTCAGTGCAGAATCTGCATGAGTACCAAAGGTAACACAAGGGTTTTCTGGACAATTTTCACTATTAAACTGAGGTGAAATTCGAGGAGAAAAGTATTTTCCTCACTACTCACCTGTACATGACATACAGCAATTTAGAGGGCAGGTGTCACGGCACATTAAATTATGAAACCTATTTTCCAAAATCTCAGCAGGACTGAGCGTGCACTTTAATCACACATCACACTGTACTGTTCACTTTAAACCTTAAGCCTACTTCTGACAGACATCTGGGATGTTTCCCCATCTGATGGCAATTTTTATCTCATTATGGCCAAGTGAGAGTTGAGCCCTTCACCAAACAGCACACAGGGCCATGGGTGATTTTTGATTTGGGTACCAGAACCCCTGGGGTTGGTGGAGCAGACAACGCATCCATCCTTTCTGGGCCACGCAGGAATTTGTTCTGGGGCAGGAGCATCAATGATTTTGGTTTGTGCAGGGGCAGAACACCAGGATACAGGCCCCTCCAAAGAAGAAACCGCAGGGATGGGCATTGGAAGAAAAGCTTCCAGGCTGGAGGCTCTGTAGCCACGTGGTCCTGACACGCCATCCCAGAGCCTCGCACAGAGTTCAGCAGCGACAGCACACACTGCCCTGAAATATCACCACTAACCCTCATCGCTGAGCACGCTGAAGTCAGAGCTGTGTGTCAGAACAAGACTGGGTAAGTGTGCTTTAGAAGACATGAGAGCTCCACAGCAGCATATAAACATTCTGCCAGCTCAGCAAGAGCATTCTCAGCTCGAAGGCAAACCTACTGTCTTGTTTCATAGCTGACTTAGCAGAGGAAAGCACTTTGTACTGGCTACTCTGAACTTCAGCTGGAACACTCACAAACAGCACGATCCTGGTTTCAGGAAATGATTTGTGTCCCACACATAAGTAGAAGGTGCTGCAGTGTTCTGTCCACTGTGCATGCACAGCGACACAAGGAGGTGGCGTCATGATTTATTATGGAAGTCAGCTTCCACTCTTGACTACGAGAATTCTGAATGGAATGAGAAGGTACTAGAGAAACACCCTTCTCTAATGAGCCCACAAACCCTCTTAGCAAGTTTATAGGTCGCAAAGAAGTCACAATTTAGATTTGCACAAATTAACCTGATTAACCTAATTGCCTTTGAATCTAAATAGTAAAAATGTAAGGACTTACAAAGCAATAATACTTTCCTACTTGCAGAAAGTTTTTCCTTTAAGATGTGTTTAACATTAGAATGAAACCAAACTACCTTGACATTGCACACTGCTGGAACAAACTGCAACCTTTCCTGCAAGCTGAGCCAACAAAGCTGAAATGCTTTTCTGATCTGAATCTCTGAACTCTACAAATAAGGACAATAAGGACAGAACAGATAATAAAAATACTATTAATATTTTCATATATATTTTATATTTTTTAAAAAAATATTAAAAGTGTTACAATAATCCTAAATGTGAGCAATGTACTTCAGCCTACAGATGAAGAGGGTATGCAGTGACTTGTAGCTCACACTGGTTCTGGCACTCCAATCACTAGCAGGGATGCTTTACTCACTTGAAAATTACTAGAAGCAAGACAATATAGACTAGCTGGCACCCTACACTTTCACTCACCTCCTGGCTCGTTTTCTGGCCTGCCTTCATGTAGAAAATGAAAACAGTATCAAAAGGACGACAAGGTAGTAAATCCAAGTAGCCAAGGTCATCAAAAAACCCAGGAAGAGCAGAGTCAAGTGCAATCAGGTGAGGAGGTAGACGACTGTTAGCAGGTTCCTGTTCAACAGACAGAGTTCATCAGCGTAAAAAAAAACTTTCTTAACTGAAAGGTCTTTGCGGCTGGAATAGCAATCCATTAAAATACAAAAAGACCATTTCCCTTTTCTAAGAGCAAAATCATTCACAAATTTCTGATGCAATCCTGTTACAGTAAATGAGTAACAGCAAGCATAACAGGTTGACAATTTGTTGCATTCTACTCTCATTAAATAAAAACTGCGTTTTGCCAGTGAAACAGATATCATGTTTTGCTTTACAAGAGCACACAACAAAAGCAGCAGATGCTTTCAAAACATCACAGCTATGCACCAAGTCACATGTGCAATTTCATATTAACCTAAATACAATATGGAAAATATTGAGCACTTTCAGACATCATTTTTGCAAACAATCATCTACTTTTGTTGACAGCTTTCTGGAAGGAAAAGCAACAAATAAAAGGAGAATCCACAGATTAAGAGGCAGATTTTCAAATTAAGAATATGGATCATCTCTATAAATTCTTATTCCAACTTAAAAAAGAAACCTCTACATCCACTATGTACCCCCAAGTGTTTATGTAGGACTAAACCGCTTCAGCACAACCAGCTCTGCAGCAGAACCTCCACGGCAGTTACGGTCAGAAAATCTTCAAAAATCACCCCAAAACTCAACTCCAGCCGTGGCAATGATTTTCAAGTGTGAATGTGATGGCTTATGCACCCACTGCCCACAAAGATCACCTTCAATGCCTCGAGCGAGAGGAACCCGAAGTGAGAGAGGAAGAGGCGCGCGGTCTGGAACTCCTGTGCGGGCGGCGGGGGCTTGCACTCCGTGATCGGGTCAGGGAAGCTCTTCTTCCGCCACTCCTCCTCACTCTTCTGATCTATGGAAGTCTCAAAGACAATCTGCTGGGCCATGCCATTCCTCAGCTTTTCGTGCCGCTCTTCGAGCTGGAAAACATTGTGTGACCTGCTGATTTCACCAAAACCACCAAGAGCAACGAGGAAAACAGTCCCGTCCCTCGGGAAAGCTCTAAGACACAGGTACGGCAGCAACTGCAGCGCACCAGCAAGATGGTTACCAGAACACCATCAATATTGCAAAGTGATCTTTAATATTGTACATCTGAACACCCTGTTCACATAGGAGAGCTGTTGTAAATAGCCACTATGGGCTATGGCTTCTCCCATTGAGGTGAATAGAAACTCAGACACATTGGACTCTGCGAAACTTTAAAATATTTGAGACATGCGCTCCCTTTTCCCCCCCATGAGGTCCCAAAAAAGCCCCCCCTTTCCATTTCCCCAGAAGAAGCAACAAAATGCAAGTCATTTCTTCCCACAACACCAGGATATTAGAATCAGTATTAAAACATGTTGAGCAGTGCCTCCCAAAAAACACATCCAAAGAATTGTCATCTTCCTGGAGAAGTGCACAGATTTCATTAATTTGCAGAGGTTATTATTCCATTAATATGAAATTAGACAAGCAAAAGAGTAAAACCATTTAGAGCAAGACATTAGTGCATGAGTCATGAAGAGTCCAAAAACCCCAAGTCAGAGACAGTTACTTACTTCCTCATTCACAATTTCATGTAAATCCGGAATACTCAAGTCAGCTTTCACAAATGGAATCTTGTCCACTTCTTCAGGAAAAGGGCGGTGTTTCACACTGTATTTCAATCCAACATCATTTTTAGGAGCTGGTCGAGGTTCTGGTACAAATGTCTGACAAAAAGAAGATTGTTTTTACATTCAAGGTATTGTATCACTAGACAATACTTCATTAAAGCAGATGAAAAACATTCCCTCTCCCCTCCCCTCCAGAACTACACTAATCCATTAGTGAGCAGATCATTAAAAAACCATTAAGTACTTTAAACTAATAGACCTGTATTAAAAATGTGACTGTATTTTAAAAAGAGACACAATTCTGCCCATTTTGGAACCTATGAACCCTGCTTACTGTCTAACCTCTAAGCAGCTGCAAATCTCAATAAAAATGGGAAGCTTCCATGGCAGCATCTTATTTTCAGCCCATTCTAAGTGTATTGAACACGAGTTGCAGGTGTTTGAGACACTCCATTTCAACCCTCCTGACTCTGATGATCAAGGCCTCAAGGGGAGCAGAAGTGCTGTGCGTCAGGAGGGAGATGCACTGCCTGAACATCCAAAGGGCTTACATCATGGATCATGGTGCAGTCCTGACACTGCCTCTACATTATGTTCTATACTGTCAGTATGGAATTCCAAACTCCAAGTTACCAAGGAGAGCAACAAAAGATCCAGGTGCAGGTTTACAGGTGCATAAGGTCCAAGCAAGCAAGACCTTTCGTTGCACCTCGAGTGCTGTTTCATAAGTTTATGTACTACCAATTACATTTCAAAAGGGCAAAACTATTAACATTAAAGTTACAGAATGCCTTCAATTTGGAAAAGTGAGGAGCTCAGCAGTGAAGCCATGGCCTGTCCTCTGGTGTAAGAGGTAGCACACCTGGACTGACACTTCTTAGCCATGGGGCTCAGCTCCAGTGACAGCACAGCTCCAAACACATCCCACAGGGTCTTCCTGAAGGCTGCTGCTTCATGTCAACATGCCAGCTGAGACTGATGAACACTCATTTCAGCTACATCATTATTGCCTTTATTTTACCAAGGGTCACGTGAAGAATTTAAAGTTTTGGAGAAATTCACAGACAGAAATTTTCATAACAGGAGTACACACTCCACTAGACAGCTGCAGCAAAACTGCAGTGTAAAATGAGACTGGGGTATTTCTCCTCCACTGTTCCTCTCCAGACCTGTTCCAGAGTTCATCTGAGTGATTTTTTTCACAGCAGGTTTACAGCCATCTTTGCAACATCAGGCTCTGTAGTTTAAAGAGCTGTTCTCTCGGCAGCACCACATTCTGTGCCTCCAGACTTCCCTCCCTGTGCTGCACGGGCTTTGCCAGACATCTGAAAACCAGCACCAACACTCATGCCTACACACTGAATGCACTGTGCCTTACCCCACCACTTCAGAAGATGCTTTCAGAAAAAAAAAAAAAAGAAAGAGAATGCCCCCTCCCCCTAAGCAAGTCTAGAAGGCAACAACACTTTCACAACCTGCAGTTAATATTAATCACGAGTGGTAAAGAGTCACCAGAGATGTGGCACATTACCTACAGCTAAAGGCCCCGTAGCTCAGCCTTAATGTATAATCACCAGCTCTGGGGGGCTGTCTCACATTAGTGGAATTTCTGCTGAACATCTCTAAGTTAAAGATTTCTTTACGGGCTTTGATAGAGACCTTTTGATTTGCTTTAGCTCCTCTTGGTAAAAGACAGAGTTGCTGGGCCCATGCAAATCTTCCAGATGTCCCACGGATCAAAACCGTGACAGAGGGGAAAGAGTCATCTGCAAAGCACATGGGTTAAAAGAACAATACATCATATGCTGTAAACAGTTCACTGTGTAATCATTTAACAAGAGAGAAAGGCAGGCACGATGGCAGAGGTTTTGTTTTCACGGTTAACTCCTCCCTAAAGACAATACATTAAAAGTAACTTTCACCCAAATTCATGAATATCAGAGTTTCTCTACAAATTATGTCCAGGAAACGAAAGATTGTCCAGTCACTGCCTGTTCAGGTGAGACAATGACCACATGGACACAGATTCCATGATGCTTCCATGACCTTCTGCAAAAGTCCCTCACAAACAGCAGCAATAAGAACAGGGGAAGGACAAGGGACAGTGGTCAAAGACTGGGGAAGATTCTGACTCCACATCATTGAAAATTTTTCACAAGAAATAGGGATGTAGAGAAGTTGTTGTCACAGGTTTGCAAGACCTATTTGGACAACACCAGGTTGCATTGTCCTGGTCCAAATTCAGTGCTGGCCTTGTTTAGAGCAGGAGGTCAGACTGCAGAGTCCTGAGGTGCCTTTCTACTGGCATGATGATGGTTTTAACATTGCAGGGATTTCAGTCCTCCTTTGAGATCTAAAAGGCCACTGATAACAGATACCTTAGATGAGGGATCATCATAGTTCTGCAGCTTTTCTTTGTAAAGGTATTTGCATTTATCTGTCGTGCACATAAACCACACACTGGCACCATCAGGTAACCAGCAGATTTTTGTTCCTTCCCCAGTATTTCATGGGAAGTACAGAGTGCAGCATAGCTACATGAGCACACACAGAGACCACCAAAACCATCTCCCCACAGTCATTCACTGCAGTGATCTGCCTCAGAAAAGAGCTGACGTCCTCATTCATTATTGCAATTAATCTGGAAATTCAAAGGGGATTTATAAGCAAGTTATGCACAGCAAGAAAAGATAATCTAATTTGTGATTCTAATAGCTTTACAGGATTCCTCAGTAATGCACTTAGCAGAGGCAGAGTGAGGATGAGAATTGCTTAGCCACTCTAGCATGCTCTAATCCATTCCAGCCAGGAGCACACTTGTTCCAGCACAGATCGGGGGTGGATGGGTGGCAACAGCTCCCAGCATCAGAGCCTCCTGCAAGATCTATTTAATGATTCTCAATGAGGTCACAGCACTCTGGACCACAATTCAAAATAACAACTTCTCTGAGCCAGTTCATGCAGTTCTGTGCAATCTCTGTTTTCAAGAGTAGTATCTACGCCCCATCGTGTCCACAGATGAGGAAAGGGTAGCAGATCTAACACAGGTTAAACTGAGGTGGCATGTAAGAGAATTTTAATCTATTCTGTTAGGTAACGCCATGACATGAAGACTTACAGAGGGATCAGTTATTCAGTTCAAAGCATCCTTCAATTTTAATACCAGATTTTTGTAATATAAATTCTCAATGGTCAAAGTCTATGAGGCTCAAACAAGTTAAGATTCAGCTGTGAAAGCCAACGCTCTGTGACCAATCTCCTTTACAGAAGGTGTCTCTGACAGAAGATGGACATGGGAAAGTTTTAACAGCTTCTAAGCACCTAAAAACCACCTGAGTTGAAAAGCACCCACAGAAATATGCAGTAACAGGAGGTCTGAAGCAAGCAACAGCAGTGGTGCCAGCATGAAGGAGACATCACCATGTGTTGAGCACTTAACCCCAATCAAATCTCCAATACTCTTTACATTTTCACTGTTTTATGAACTAGGATGTTTCAAACTGCAATGCTGTTGCTTTTGCCCATCACCCATAATTTCAGTGGTAGTCAGCAGCAAGTATCCAATCTATCTGGGTGAAACACAAACCACTGCATGAACCATTTTGGGTGGGCTTGTGCATGTTGGACTATTAGGGGCATTAAAGTTACTCCCACCACTTCATCCCAGAGCACCTCTGCTCGGTGTGCACACCCACAAACAGGTAAGCCCCTGAAACATCAGAGACACACTCGATGAAGTACCTTTGTTCTGCAGCTCCATACAAAGAGTTATAACCAGAGGAAGAATGAAATGAGGAGTCTGAACTTACTCTGTTCATTCCCTAGAGGCTGCTCCAACATGGCCAGGATGACACTGTTATCCAAAACAAAGTAACGGAAGCTGTGCTTGTTTATGGTAGGGAGACGGGAATATTTAATTAACGTGGTTTCATTCACCAAGCTGCAAGGAGAAGCAGGACCACTGGGAGAAGGAAAGGCTCCAAGTAACTGCATAATGCTGCAAGTGGGAAACAAGTTGAGAGTTACAAGAGATTAAGACTATGAACTGTTCCCCCAAGAAAAAACCTGCACTCATGTTCATCTGTATCTTGATCTAGCAGCTACTCTACCAAGGCACACGTGCCCTCTCCCATCAGCCTGTTTTCAAGTAATCAGTAACTTCAGAAAAACATACATGAAAACCTACAAAGAAGGATACTCTGCCTGCACAATGAGTTTCTTTATAACCTGGGTTATAAATATATTAAGACTTGCTCTAAAGCATAAAAATCTGTACCCTTCCACAGCTCTGTTTATGTTCATTCTTGGAAGAATGAACAATCTTATTTCTCCAATCATCCATACTTTAGCCCTCTCATATCAGACATGGCAGTGCATTAGTTATGATTGCCTTTGCTTTCTGCAAGTACAGATTACAGGAACATAAAACTCTTTAGGGGATTAAGACCCTAAAACATCCAGGATCACACAAACATGACTATCCCAGATGGCAACCTTCCCTGGAAGAAAGACTTCAGGTGTGGTCCAACTGTGCCCACCTCCTTGGAGGCACAGCCTTGGGAGGCTTCCAGAAGCATCGGTTTAAATCATCTGAAGTTGTACAGGATCTACCCAACAGTACCAGAAACTGAAAATTTCTATGGCAGGAACCACTAATGAGAGTTGTCCAGTGTCAGACTGAAGATCATATGACCAAAGTCAGGACTTTACTCTTAACACCAGCACCAAGTTTATTAAAATCCTCCCCACACACTTTTCCACTTTACTCTGAAAATAGAAAAGTTTCCTCTCCCTAAATGAAAAGAAACGCTTTTAGGCATCAAGAAAGGTTTGTCTACAAGTTCCAAAGAGTAGTTGCTTTTCCTTTGAAATTACATAGTTGTTTTTACTAACTGTAACATCTATAACAGTTGGATTGCAAAGCAAAGCAAAAAAGAAAGCAGCTATCACCTTTTGCAAAACATATTTATCCTCCCCATCCTCAATCTGTCCTGTCTACCATCATGCTGTTCAGCCCATAACACAGTGCTTTCCAACTTCTCTGGAGCAAATCCCAATTTTCCTCTCTGTGCTTCCCCTCCCCAGCCCACACATTATCTGTTACTGCATTTCCAGCAGAACCTCTCCAATACATTAAGCAAGCCCAACGCTGTGGGCAGGAAGCCATCCCATCCTGCTCCAGCTACATCTGCTGCATGTGCCATTCCCTGCTATCACACACAGTGTCTATCAGCTTCCCAGCCAGGGTGGGGACAGGGCACGTTGTCAGGCTGAGAAGAAGGGGGAATGGAAAGACAGGATCATTCAGTCAAGTGGGAGAGAGAGGGAACTGCTGTCTGCAGAGAGGCCTCACCCAGGAGAGAACACGAAGGTTGGGGGAGGGTCTGGGTTTTGGTGTACAAGGAAGAGAGCAGGCAGGAGGGGAAAACAGGGATCACAGGGATCTCTCTTCTGTTAATACCTGCAGTGGGAGGGGGGACAGATCTAAGGCAGTGTCCTGCCCAAAGGGCAAAGCAAGGGAGCTTCTGCCTAACCTCTCAAATGCTCTTGCTACATCCAGCTGGGAATTCCTAATTAAACACCCTCAGTCAAGGCAACACTCAACATTAAAGGTACTCTGACAAATTAATGACATACCACGTTAGTGTAGCTTCAGCAGCATCCTTCACTCTCATAGATGCGGGGTTTGGCTCCTTATCTCCCTTGTACTTGACCTCCTGTTCACTGGTTTTGGATTTACTCCCTGAAATGCCCAGCTCCACAATCTCCAGTACCTCCTTCAAACAGTCCTAGAACACAAGAGGAACCACCTTAAAACAGAAGACCTCCCACAAACGTCTCCAAGACCTCAGGGAAACAGTGATACATCATTAAGTAAAATAAAGCACTGCTGGTAATATGAGCTCAGAAATAAAGGCAGAAGATTATTCCAACACTGTTAGAGTAAGATCACATTTGCTACACAACTGGTATTTTCTCCATCTATTGATATTTCTGGGACTCTCTGCAGAACTTTAAGTTCTAAGCACATTAAGAAACAACTCATCTGGCAAATTGCAAGAAATCCTTTTCCAAATCTTCCAATTGCCAACAGCTTTCATTAGTAAAATATATCACAGTATCCAATTCATCAAGAGAAGAGTAAGAATATTCTAAAAGTGCACTGTAAAAGCTTCAACAAATCTATTACAGGAGAGGCCAACAGTCAGTAGAACCGCAGGTATGACTCACAAGCACTGTAATTAAAAAAAAAAAAACATCTGCTGAAATATTTGGATTGCTACAAAGGTTCAGATTCATGGCCTGAGCTACAGGATAACAAGGAAAGCACTCTACTGAATAAATAAGTGGCTAAAATTGAATTCAAGTGCTCAGTTTGTACCACCACACACCAGATAGGGTTCTATATCTTGGCCTCTGTCCCTCATTTTCATCACTGATACAGAATAAGAAGTGAAGACAAAAAGCAAGAGTTTCCTGACAGAGCAAAATTAACCAGCACTGAGCTGCAAACACTGGCCATGAAGAACTGCAGCAGTTTACAGTTTTGGCTGCCAATACAGCAAGTAAAATTCAAAGCAAGTTTAAGGGGAGGCACCTGGAAAGCTGCATTTTTAATACATGCAAATGCAGGGAAAGGTCCCTGTCTGACTACGGTGACTCAGGAATGAGCTGCTCGGTGTCCAGTTCATAACACACACAGTATGTTACACCATCTCCTGGGAGTGCCAACTGAAATAAAAATGCTCCTGATGAAATGGAATAAGGTATTATGCAACTGATTAAAGAAATGCTGTGCCACATCCAGGGAACCCACCCTGTCCCAGTCACCTACTGCCATGCCAGGACTCCAAAGCACAGGTATAAAGCATCTTTAAATGAAGTCCTGCTTGGGGGATTTTAGTTCTCTTTTTTTAAATATAGATATTTTTGTACTTGTCATAGAGTACATAAACAGCATATAAAGATATATAATGTTCTATCTAAAACTATATAAAAATATTACATTAAACATAAAAATCTATAATCCAGAAAAATATAGAAAGATCACTGAGTTGGCTCTGAAAAGAGACTAACAATAAAAATATGCACACAAATTTTTATCTTTTTTAAGCAGCAGGGTAGAAGGCATTTCAAAACCTCATGCTCTCATCATCATGCTCCTCTCAAGCTTCCCAAGAAAATTCCATCTTAGATTGAGCTATGCTTTGCTCAGTTTCTGGAAAATGGACTTCTTGGTGAAATAAACTCTGATTTTCAAAATACTAGAGGAATTCTGTTAAGTCTAGAAGATGCTTTAGTCATGTAAGAGCTGAGAAATGAGCAGGTAGCTCCAGATACCCCATTCATTTCCACATTTCTCTTTTTTTTTCCTGTTGTTTTTTTTTTTTCCAGGTTTCTTCTCCTTTCTTCCAGTTTCAAAGGGCAAGAGGAAAGATCGAGATACTCTTAGAATTACAAAGATAATTTTAAAGCCAAAAACATCATCGGAGAATAAAGAGTGGGAGTTGAAATTCAGAAGTAATTGGCACAGAAACCAGCTTTGAAATTCCTAAAAAAACCCCACTATTTTAAAGTATAAGATATATATATATTTTAAAGTATAAGGTATATATATATTTTAAAGTATATATATTTTAAAGTATATATATTTTAAAGTATATATATTTTAAAGTATATATATTTTAAAGTATATATATTTTAAAGTATAAGGTATATATATTTTAAAGTATAAAGTATATATATTTTAATGTATAAAGTACATAAATTTTAAAGTATATTTTTAAAATATGTATATTTTAAAGTATATTTTTAAAATATGTATATTTTAAAGTATATTTTTAAAATATATATATTTTAAAGTCAACCAACAGGTCGGGCACGAAAGCATCCCAGCTGCAGTGCCCGGAATGCGTGCAGCAGAGTCTGACCTTCTCGTCCAGCATGTCGGGGTGCTCTGTGAGCCACACGCAGAGGCACTGGAAAGCTGCCACGATCATGGAGTGCAGGTCCCGCGAGTGCAGCGGGGCCGGGCGGCTGCACTGGTACACGATGTAGCTGCACACGGAGCTGATCGCCCGCTTCCGATCACAGGGGTCCACCACCACCTTCACCTGGCCAAGCAAGGAGGACAGCGTGAGAATTCCTCCAGGGAAGAAAGAAGGGCATTTTGAAAGGCAGTTTTAAGAAATGGGAATAAGCAGTTGAGGTCTTCTACGATTACAGCTCAAAATTGTGGGTAAAATTATCTAAGTGGAAAGAAATGCTGCACTGAGGTGCCACCACGTCGCATGGCTTGGTTTCCAAGAGCGAGAGTGGTACCAACATGGTGTGGTAAGAAATCGAAGGCAAGCTAAATTTGCAGTATTAGAAATTTACTTTCAGCAAATGCTGCTTCTTCAGCTCTGGTAACCCATTCTGTGTCTCTTGGAACCCACTCACTGCCAAGGCTCCCTTCCCAAAGAGCTTCCTTCTGCTCAGATAGCTCTCCCCTAGACACACTCTCAGCAGAGTAACTTTCACCAGTAGAAAAAGGGACAGGAAAGCCACTCTCAGAGAAGCAGGCTGACAAAAACCCCATAACCCATCCCCCAAAACTCACTGCAAACACCTCTCAGCTTCTCTCCCAGCTCAGGGCTGCAGGGAGAAAGGCTCCAGACCAGAGGGTGAGGAAAGAGCCAGGCACAGAGTCCCGAGGATGTGCATTGTAAGGCTAAAGAACTGTGACTCAGCACAGGAACAGCCAGATTTTTCCTACTCTGTAGCATCTGACTATGCCTTGTAAAGCTTTCCTCATTCAGGTGCACCCTTATCCAGACAGGAAGGTGGATGGGCTTGCTGGTGACAGCACTGGAGCCAGGCAGATCCTCCACAAACGGGGTGACAATTCAGAGCCCCGGGATGAAGGCAGCGCGTCCTTCAGAAGCCCAAGATCTACAGCAAACAGTGTGCTCATGAAAGGCAGGCTCATGAACCCTGCAGGAAGTAGGATTTTTGACTTTCCCCAGTCCCACTGATAACCTGGGCCAGGGCAGCCCCTCCCTGAGAAGGGCTGTGGGACTTGTCACCTCCAAAGGCACAAACAGAACAGGTTCCTCGCTGCAGTTCTGCAGGAAGAGGTGATTTCTTTCTACCCACTTTGTTGTGAAGGGGAAAGACAGCCCAGAGAAGAATTACTTTAGAATTATTAAATACAATATTTAATATTAACTAGGGGAGGCATTTGAAAAGATATTTCCACATGCCCATATCACTGCAAGGAGAAAGAAAAAAAAAAAAGAAAACTTGGCTAAACCACACAAGCTGCAGAAACCCCTGGTTGTGTAAGACACTCTTTAAGACCCCTTTAAGAGCATAATATACATTAACTCATTGCAGAACACTTTCAAATACATTCTTCAGCTCATGCTGCTGCAATAATAAATAAGCACCCAGTCCAACACAGCTCAGTGCTGACTTCACACTCTAAGAACTGCCTGAGACACATATTTCAAGGAGATCTGTTGAGTTCCTGTGGAAATATGACAGGAAAAGCTGAATTGTCATGCCAGGTTATCATGGTTGCTGTGAGTACACTAGACTTGCTTAACAAAGGTCATGAAGTCCAGCCTGGGGCCAAGAGCCCTCAGGCAAGAAAGGGTATTTTGCTTCTCAGTCATTCTCCTCCCAACCCCACCTTGCAGCTTTAGTTGTTATTTGTGTTGAATTAAGCAACTGTGTGCAGATAAAGCTCTGAAGAAGGCAGCACCTCCATATTAGAAATATGATATCTTTCTTCAAGCTCTAAAAACTATTTCCAAGATAAGAAGGAAGGGGAAAAGCAGGTACAACACGAAAAGGGCAATAAAGTTGTTTAATTCCCTGGCATATTTGCAATCTGCCAAGTAACATCACCAGAACCTCTTGTTTCCCAGTCGGGTTACAGAGGGAACAGACAGACCAGACCCCCAGCCAAGCAAAGCCACATCAAATGGCTCACAGGGAGGTTGAAAACTGATGGCCCAGAGCCCTGCACTGACACTGCCAATCTAGTGGCACGTTTCTCCTCAGCTATGCAACCTAATATGGCAGATTGTATAGAATAAAAAAGCAAAACAAAAACAAAAGCCAGACGCACGTGGGAATCCATGAGAAAAGTTAGGAGCCATCCAGCCAGCTCAACAAAACCTGCCAGAATTGTGCAGTGTGTCTGAACAGGCCACCCTGAGCAGCAGTCTGAGCCAAGAGCCACCCCCAGGCCACGTGTCCACAGTGCATTTACATTGGGAGAAAATAACCTACAACAGCAGTGCTTTTTTTGGTGTCCAAACAGAACATTTGCTGACAAACTCAGGGACAGAAATCTGTTTGGTGGCGTGACTTTCATCCAAACAGGACTACAGCCACCCTGTGAGAAGGGGCCAGAGCACACCGAACTGCACATCTCACCTTTGCCAGTCCAGAGAGCAGCTCCAGGGCAGCCAGGGAGATGCTCATGTCCTGCCTCCACTGGGAGTTGAGCCTTTGGGTTACCAGGTGGATGCTGCGGATCAGCAGTCCAGCAGCTGTATCTGTATGAAGAGCTAGGATATAACCCCAAAACCACACCACAGGGAGGGAAAATAACTAAGCATTAGTGACAATAAAGCAAAGCACAGGCACAAGGCAAAGCAGCCACAATACAGACATAAAATAAATCATACCCAACCCAGAACCTCCACATTTGGTGATTTTTGCACAGGCTAACTCCCTCCTGCACACTCCAGGCATTATACAAACCCATTCAGACTAGCTAGCTCCATTTAATTTCTTTTTCCTTAAGGCATTTTGGATAATCCCAGTGCTCTCCTGCGTTTCAGCAGCAGAGCAGCCACCTTCAGGTTCTGCTATTGTACTTAAACTGCTGTCATGGCTTGTAGTCTCAGAAAAATTTAGGCATTGGTAATGTATCTTAAACGTTAGTAACTGTATTGATGAACTAATAGAGCACGTGCAATTTTAGATATCTGTGTCAGAAGTTAACCATTCTTTCATTATCTAGTGTTAATCGAAAGCTGCACTAGCTCAAGAGATATAGATAATGGAAGAATCAGTGGTGGAGACAATGTTTTTATGAAGCCTTTCACTCTCTTGAACTTTTACCTCAAAATTAAAAATCGAAAATGCTTTAGGTATCAGTTGTTCTCACTTCAAAATGCTAGGAACATAAATACTACAAGTATTTGTTAAAACTGAAGTATGCAAATTAATGTCAGAAACAAAAAATTGCTCAATGAGCAGTTACAAAGAAACATGAGAACTATGACAGCTAAGGCATATCCTTCCCAAAACTTGAATTACCATATTAAACACTCAAGAGCTATGTCCAGTGTTACACCAGGAGCAGATTCACAAGTCTGCTACAGCTAAACAGTAACAATAGACCATCTTGTCTTCAATTTTCTCTTGTTTGAAGCATCCAATGGGAACACAAATTATTTTCATAAATTCCTTACAACCTTACCTTCTGTGCATTGGAAATTTAAAAAATCCAATAAAAGGTATATACTACAAGAATATATTTCAAGTTATGTCATGGTTTGAAGACTCAGTAAGTCAAATATTTAGAAGATGAATATTTTTTACAAGCACTTGTCAATGAAAACCCACACAAATTAAACAAACAATTCAAATGGTGTGCTGAAAACTGGCAATTTTGTAATTCCCAACAAGCAAATCCTGGAGGGAAAGCACCAACACGTTTATATGAATCCCTAGAATATACTGAAGTCTTTCCTGCTAATCTCCCTCCTCTTGCTGTTTATAAAACTAAATTAAAAAAAAACCACCACCAAACATTTTTGTTTGGTGAGGACAGAGTTGTCAACCTAGACTACAATACAATATCAAGGTGACTTGTTCTCACATTTACTTGGCCGACATCAGTTAAACTGATGAGGACCAAAGTGCAAATGAATTTGCAGGATCTCGACATTCAGCCAGCTTACCACACACAGGGTTAGAAGAACATGGATTTTACTACAAAAAATCAAAGTGTACAGTACAAGACAAAGCCAACTGAAGTTAATTATTAAATTGTCTTGTTACAACAAATGAGACATCACAAGCATTCTGCTTACTTGCTCTATAAAAACCAGAGTCCCTCAAATGTTCTTTAAATGTGGTTTAAAAGGTGCTGCAGAGGTAAGGTGAGCATTTGGAATGACACCAAAATAAACGAAGAGATTAATTTACACTAGGTGTACAATTCTTCCACTATTGTTGACAAAAACTAAGTGTCTTGGAAGCATAAGTTAAAATAAAGCAGTTTGCAAACACCTTTCTCATAAGCTTTTACATTCTTATTTTGGAAATGTTAAGAGTCCTTTAGTAGGATTAAAGCAACCACCGGAAGGGCACATGAGAGCACAAATCAGCAACACACAGATGGACTGTCCACCTGGGTTCACACCCGGCCACATTAATGGATTAGCCAGAACTAGAACAGAAAAACCCAGGAAGCCTCATCCTGGCATACAGGGGCAGGCTTTTCCAAAGAGGTGTCCTTACCATAATCCCTCAGCAGGGCTTGTGCTGGTCGCTCGCTGTCGGGCGTTGTGGGCTCTGTGCTGCCTCCACTCGCGGTGCTGATGCCGCTGTTGGTGCGGCTGTGGCTTTTGAACAGGTTGTTCTCCCCACCGTTCTGCAAAGTGAAAGGCAGTTGGCAGGAGACTTTTCTGATTAGAGTTCCTTATGACAGAGGATGCTCTCAGATACAAAAGATGATTAAACCTCAGGATGCTACCTGAGCTGCTTTCAGTAGCAGGTCAAGTGAGGAATGCAATTCTTTCTGAAGAGGTAACTTAATAAACAAAAAAACACTCACCGTTTCCATCTGACAGCCAATGGCTTCTAACAGTGCTGAATCCTGAACAATGTTTAACATTGCACCTGCAGAACCAGATATCAGAAGGTAACTACAGACTGCAGCAGAACATTCACTGCTAAAATTTACAAAGAAGCACAGAAGGTCTAACATACAAGACTGCCACCCTGTTTTATAAAATCTCTTATTAAAACACAGGATTTGCTTCAGGCTTAGCCATTTGAAGCAGATGGAAGCTGAGATAGAGAGTGCTTTCAGCTATTTTAAAAATGCTTTGAACACAGTCTAGAAAAGACTGAGAGGGGATCTCATCAACACATAAATATCTCAAGATACAAATATAAATATGTCAAAGAGGAGGTGCCAGACTCTGTTCAGTGACAAGACAAGGAGTAACGGCTGTAAACTAAAACACAAGAAGTTCCACCTCAACATGAGGAAGAACTTCTTTCCATGGAGAGTGACAGAGCACTGGAACAGGTGCTCAGGGAGAACATGGAGTCTCCTTCTCTAGGGACATTCAAAACCCACCTGGATGTGTTCCTGTGTGACCTGCTCTAGGTGGCCCTGCCTTGGTGGGAGAGTTGGACTGGGTATCTTCAAAGGTGCCATGGACCCCAACTATTCTGTGATAGGTCTATCAAATTCCTCAGTTTGGAAGGATTCTGGCTTCACAGAAGGGCTGGAATGGTTCCTTGTCTCCCATCAGATTGTGCTCTTTTAAAAACTCAGGTGACATTTAAGAATATGTATCAGAAGGCCAGTTCATAATCTGAGATGGCATACACTGAAGTTCCCTCTACCTGGAAGTGTTCCCCAGTCTCTCACTTTCCATCCTATGTTTTCCAACAGAGACCAAAATACTGTATTCAAAAAGCTGAAGCTCTTCAGTGCAGGGGTCACCAACCTCACTACATCTAAACAAGCAAGGAGGGAGTTTTCTCTTCAACTTTGGAAAAGATTTCAGTGTAATACACTTAAATCAAAACTGCTGATCTGTTTTAAGTAAAATAGGGTGAATAGCCTGTACCTGCCTGGCAGCATCACCTCCAGATGATGAGGAAAGAAGGAGTAAGGACATGGACCCTCAACAGGCTGACACGAACACTTCTGGTGGCATCAGTTTTAGTTTTCTGCCTCTCTTCCCTGTCTCACCCAGCAATGAACATTTAGGAAGACACCACTTGCTCTGTGAAGGGAAATGCCAGGACAAGGGGAATGGCTTCCCACTGCCAGAGGGCAGGGTTAGATGGGATACTGGGAAGGAATTGTTCCCTGTGAGGGTGGGCAGGCCCTGGCACAGGTTGCCCTGAGCAGCTGTGGCTGCCCCATCCCTGGAAGTGTCCAAGGCCAGGCTGGACAGAGCTTGGAGCAACCTGGGCTGGTGGAAGGTGTCCCTGCCCACGGCAGGGGGTGGAATGAGATGGTCTGTAAGGTCCCTTCCAGCCCAAACCACTCTGTGATTCTATGAAATCCACCACTTGCTGTCATTTAGTGGCAGCTGGAAACAGTGGGGGTTTTTGAGAAGCTGGTGGACATGTGAGAATTTCTGGTTAAAATGGAGGTTCATGAATCCCCTCCAACTAAAGCCAGCAGGAAGTACCTTCACATATGGAAACAGGAGTTTCAGAAGAGGAACACAGGGGAGATGAACTGGTATAGACTAGCATGGGAACAACAATAGTAAAAATACCACTCAAGGCAGAGCATCTACCCATCAGGCAGCAAACCAGCTCACTGTGAGGGGCACAGGACTGCACAGCTGGGTTTACCAGCACCATCCTGTGGTGCCAGACGTGGTGCTGGAGGTGGGGCAACCCTCCATGCACCGATGCTCTCACTTGCAAACCAGGAATATCCTCACCCCTTCACCAGCACTGGCTGCAAATCATTCCTCCAAATTACTCCACTCTAGTCTCCTGCTAGAAAAGAAACTGTTCCAACTACTGTAAGATAACCTTCCAAAACTCTTTGCAGACTGCATTTGTTTCTTTCCCTTAATTGCTCATATGTTCTCTTTGCTCTCTGTTAACCAGCTCCAGTCTCTGCCTCCCAGACCAGGACAAACTGCTGCCTTTTTAAACAGACCACAGGAAACTGGTAAGGACATCACGTTGAAAGAGAGAAAATTGGGGGAGAGGGGAGAGTAATAGGTATCTTTTTACTTGTCTGAAAATGTGTAAGTTGATGGATTATGCACTATCCGAATTTTTAACTTCTACTTCCTTTCTGAGTATTCAGCATAATGTTAATCCACTCGTTACCTCAAAGAACAGTTTGTTGCCAAACTGTGCACTGTGCATCTCCAGACTCTATTCCAAAACTTTGGCTTTTGTCCGAGGATTTACACACTGCTAAACAAATGTCATCTGTATTCTGCCAGTGCTGGACTATCAGTCTCTGGTACTTCAATTTGTTTCTAGGCTCAACCATGCCAAAAACTAAGGTTTTCCTTGTAATCCATTAGTTGAGAATCCTTCCCAAAGTTAAAATGATGATTTTTCCTATTTCCATTCTAGACATGACTGACTTTTTCTGCTAGAATGTGTTTTACTTTCCCCTCTACTTTTCAAGTACTACTCCACATCTGTAAAAAGAAAGAGATTAACAAAAACATGAGGCTTTTTAAGATGTTTTCATAGTATGAGGGAGATTTCACATATGACAACCCACCAGGAATTTAAATCTTCTTGCAGAGCAATACATCACTAATAACCCATGTTATCCCAGGACAGATTAAGACAGACAGTTCTACACCACAGTTAATAAATAAAAAAGTTGAAATAACCTAGTATCATTTGAGTGTTGTTGGGATCTGTTTCTGTTTGCAAAGCTCCTATAAGTATATTCACAAGCCTCAGCTTCAAGGACAGGAATGTTACTGGTTTATCATATGTCGAGCTGTCATCATTGCTGAATTTCCCTTCCAGGACAACCTGCAGGAAAAATACACTTATTTCAGTATCAATTAAAGATCACGTCAGCAGGGTGTTGTTTCAAAAGTCAACACCCACAGCACCCATTGCTACTGACAACCTGGTCTTTCTGTTCCCACGGTCACTGTAAGTGTTTGAGTGCTAAAGAGAACACCCAGAACAACCTACAGGCCACCCAAATCCCACTCCAAACCAACAGGGAAAGAAAACAGAAATGCAAAATAAAGTGATAAATTTACTACCTCGGACTTTATTGTTCCAAAATGATGAGGAAGAGGCAACAGAGACAACAAGATGTTAATGGAAGCTCTTCTTAGCTCTGTGGGGTTTACATAGATTTTAAACTTTGAGAGTTCTCTGCAAATCAAAGCATCACACAGTTAATCAACTTTTCACAGGAATCTGGAGCCAAATTTAAATAAGTTAAAATTAAATGTAGTTGTTTCTTTCTAAGACCTATCCAAAAGACTCAGATTTAAGCCCAGAAGATAAATAATATTTTATGCATAACTTCAAAACAAAATGCAGTGTCAAGACATAAGACATGCACCAAAAAAGGCATGCAGAGAGTGCAGTACTCTAAGTGCTTTACTAAGAAAAACGTCCAGAAATCTATAAAGCTCTGACAAGTCAGGTTATATCATCTGGTTTAAGAACCTACTCCAATTTCATCAGTTTAAATTATCAATTTTTCCATTTAATGTTGTGTACAATTACTCACTTACTGAATTCACTGTAGCAACAGCCACTAATGAATATCTTGAGAAAGTTTAAAATCAGTAGGCTTTCAATATAGTTGAGCTAAATCACTCCTTTTCCCTATTCTTAAAGGTACTGCTTTCCCTCCATGAATATGCAGCTACCAACTCGCCTATTACATTTAAACAAAGCATTATTATTGCTTTAAAGAAAATTGCCTCAAATAAAATTGGAAATTTGAGCTTACACAGTGCTGCTATTGTCACCATCACACACACACACACACTGTGAGCCCCGCGTTGTTCCTTTTGTGAAACTACTCAGGAGTGACAGAAGACAAACACCTCCCAGCCTCTGATGATGTTTATATGGAAACAGCAATTTACCTGTCAGGTAAAATAGTTTCAAGAGCCGAAATGAAGTAGGGAACCACGACATCGATTCCTTTCAGGTCACAGCAGAACAGAGGAGGGGAGTTTAGGATAACACTGGCAAGAACGGGGTGGCAAACGAAATCTGCTATCTGCAAACCCTGAATTAAAAGCATGTAAAATCTGACAAAGAAAGATAAAATTAAATTATTTGCATATAAAAACCATCAGAGTCCCACATGAACAAGAATGTGCAGCCATTATTTGATCTCATCTACATAAAACAGAGTAAGTTTCAGAACCAGAGCTAGGAAACGTTGATATGAGCATCCCCCCACATTACTTGAGCACAGGCAAACACACCTGACCAGCTTAAAAAGACCCTCCCAAATCACAGGTATTTCATGTGAAGAGCCAGGGCAGCACAGTTTTACTGAAATCTCTGACTTGTTGCAACACCCAGGCTGGGAGCTGTGCTCATTACTGACAGTGCTTGATCACCTGCTCCCCAACTTCTCCCTTACCATGTGCAGGTGGGAGTGGAACCTGGATTTTAACAATTTTGTTGCCCCAACATGAGAAAAATAGTGAGAAGTCTCAGGGGAGGTGGTGGACAGGACAAGCGACAGGATGTTGGGACAGAAATTTGGAAAATGAGACCAAACATAACCAATATAACCAGTTCAAACGAAAAATCAGGAGCAGGAACCCACTGCCCACCATTCCAAGGCAGCTTCTTTTACTACTTCTGGCTAAACAATACTTATACCCCCTTATTTTTTTTAGAAGGCTTTCAGACCCAGAAGAATCCACTGACCAAGCAAGAGAAACATGAACTATCTATACACAAAATACTGTAACATTCAAGAAATAAAATTGTTGTCTTTTGGAGAGTTTTGATGCCATCTGGAAAAATATACCTGAACAGTTTGAGAGAATCATGATTTAAAATTGATTCTCTGCCTTAGCCTTTGCTATTTTACTTGACAAAAATTCAGAAAGAAGGTATGCTATAATAGGCAAGACTATCTTAACTTATCAGAAACAAAACAGAACACACAGGTAGTTCAAACACAACTGTTTTGAATAATTCCTGCGTTTCAATATTCAAAGGGTGAAAAATAAGCAACCACAAAAAAATCCAAACCCAGTGTTGTGGTATTTGACAACACAACACCCTCTGTGGTCTAATAAAGTGTACGAAGTCTCACGTCTGCACACTTTTCCCATCTGAACAATATTCAGTGACCAATTAAACAAAAATGAAAATACAAGAGGCAAGAAAGTGCCAAAGAAAACGTTCCTTCCAGCTGGAGGTACACTTTAAGAGACTCCCCCTTCAACTGGAACTTGAAGAAAACCCAATGAAAACCAGCATCATGAGAATGCAAGAGGAGACCAGCACTGGGGTCAGCCAGGGGTAGCACCTGCAGCCTCTGAAGGCCAGCCTGGTGTTTCTGAACTGACTGACACCATGGGATTTGGACAGCAGCAGAATGCTGTTCACCAGGAATCAATCTGCACCACGAGGTCACACCAATAAAGCAACTGGAAGGTAGGTTAGTACCGGGATAGGTAAGCTGGTAATATTTCCTCCCCAGTCTTCTTGCTACAAAATATCCTACACAGTGTCCCGCACGCCTCTGCCCTTCCCGCTTCATAGTTGTCTGGGAATTCACTCGCATCAAACATGGGGTTGGAAGCCATAGTGTCTGTGGACATTTGGGATCCTTTCCGGCGGAACTCCACACTAGCTTGGGTGGCTATAGCTGGGGAGAGAAAAAACAGCATTTCAGTGTGTGTGCCAAGGAACAGAACAGGCTCATGGGATCCGGGACACAAAGATCACGTCCAATTTAGCAGTTAACATGAAGCTGTTAGTTCACTGTGTTTGAGCCAGCGCCTCTGCTCAGGAAGCATTTTTGGGTGTGACTAACTTTTCTCTTCTGTAAGGATGACAACAACTGACCTTCACATCCTAGAGACTGCCCTTTCCTTTCTGCTGGGAAGAGTAAAATTATATCCAATATTAGTTCCTACCCTCTCTGAAGGACAAGGATCTCCCTCATCTAGTTCTCGTCCCCATAAAAATAAAGTGCCACCTTGCCTTCCTGCCTTAAAAAAAAAACACCAAAATTTAGATGTTGCCATTACTAGGACCTCCAAGGAAGTGCTTAATTTCCAGCTGGCCAAATCATCTCATGCTTCTCTGAAGACCAACGTGCTTTGATCTGGTTTTGTTGTATAAACATATTACTAAAAAAAAAAACCAATAAAAAACCCCAACACAAAAATTCTAAGGCCCCATAGGAGAAAGGGAAGGTTGTGGAACCCACTCTCCTAATTCGGTGTCCCTCTCCTGACGTGACCACTGCCACTGCCAGGTCAGTATGAGGTTAAGATTGCCCCCAGACAGCAGGTACCGGGGGCTGGCCCACTCCTGCCCCTGTGACCTAACAGGGACACGGCTGTGCCAGCTCTGGGCTCGCTCCCACAGGCCAGTTCTGCCAATCCACCCCAAACCACGTCTTTCTAGAGAGATTTCTGGTCCCCCTTTCACACAGTGTCAGGTGGATACGAGACCACTCGCTCTGAAGGCTCCACCCTTTCTTCCAGGATGGCAGCCAAAACAAAACATACATTGCACTCGATGTGAGGGGGTTTTTTTAATTTTTTTTTTTGGCTTTTCCTTGGACAACTTCACTCTAGGATTACTAATGCCAGAAAGAGGGCCTTCTTATCTTTAGCTAAGACTCTACTGATTTCCAGAATTTGTATAGCTGCAAAGAGCAGACAGTGTGTGCTCCTGACAGAATCACACTGACGTATTTCCATCGACATGAGAGAACTTCCTCTGCCTCAACTCTGGGACACTGGGGAACAGCAGGTTCACAGCCAGCCTTGCAAACAAAGGCATGGTAACACTTTGGCAGTTGGAATAGTCGATAATTTACAGATAGTGGGGTTTTTTGTTTTATTTTTTTAAGGAAATATCTTAATGGCAAGTGTCTACTCTGAATTTTTTGTCCTCAAATTCAGCATTTAACCTATGGGTACCTTGCAAATTTTCGTGATGTAAGTAGCAAATAAGCACAAATCTTTATGCATCTTCCCATGAGCCATTTTTTTGTCCTAAATAAGCTATCCAGCAATATACTGTAGTTGGAAAAAAACACTACATGCACAATGCATACAAATCAAACACTAGGTCTGTAAAATAAGCTTTAAGTAAAAAAAAACATGGTTAGTGCAAAGTCCTGAAATTCATGACATGATCACAGACTAAAGTACAGAAAAGATGGGACTGATTCAGGCAGATTAATTTGCTTTTGCCAACAATCCTCCCCATTGAAAAAACACACACAAAAAAAATTACTTGTCTTTTTCAAGTAAAAGTGCAAAAGCTACAAGAGACGATGAGCATGAATTTACAAATAAAATATGGGATTATGGAAAAAGAAAAGCATGACAGCAATTAAGGAAAAGCTACTGGTTCCTACTTACAAGATTTATAAGAAAGAAGAATTTGGATAAAAGATGCTGCAAGATAATAGAAATAAAATGGAAACAAATCAAAGGACAGCAGTAGTTATAAAATACTTTTAAGATGGTGAAATTGTAATATAAGTCAAGAAGCTTTTAGCTTTTTTAAAAAATAGATTAAAAGCTTTATGATACAGCAAGCTTGTTAAACACATAGGAAATTGGCATTCAGGTCCAAAATTATGGTTTTGAAAGTACCATGCAAAACAATGAACAAAAAGTTACAAAATACTACTGAGATTTAGAGCTGTTCATATCAGTGCACATCCATCCTTTACCAGGAGGTATTACCCCTTCCCAGCTCACAGCCCTGTCCCCATGTCACACTGCACACAGAGCATACACAAGGCTATCCTAGGGCTCCTGTGACTTGGGGAAGGTCTTGTAGGGCCAAGTACTTACCTGCAGTCTCCTGACAGCAGTGCTGTTGCTTCCCAACCCCGAGATCGTGACAGTACGACAGCTCCCACTCCCCTCAGCCAAGCTGCCAACAACCAAAACACCTGAGCGCACCTCTCCTGACCCCCAGCTCCACCAACAACGTTCCAGAGCAGAAACAAAGGGCAGAACACTCCCAGAAACACCAACATCTTAATCAGTGTCCAGAGAAAGAAGAGAGGAAGGACTCCAGCTGCCAGGTACCACCTGGCAGGAGCCACTTCCTTGAACGGGCAGGGTCAGACCAACATCTGCCACCAAGTGCCTCAGCAGTGCTTCAAGATGTCTCCAGTCAGGGCTGCTTGGAGTTTGCTCCTCGAACCCCAGAAACATTCTTTGGGACATTAATGACAGGAGGGCCAGAAGAGATGAGGGTACACCCCAAGACTCCCCCACTGCCAACAGCACCTGGGTGACACCAGCAACCCATCGAGGTGTCCCCTTCGGCTGCTGTAAAACCACAGAGCTGGCAGGCTGTGACCAAACTGCTTTAGGGACAAGGACTAAGAATAAGCCCATCAGATTGGAGGATTCAGTTGCTGAAATGCTGGCACAAGGTGCTCGTGAGTCTCTCCCAGTTCTCAAAGGCTGAGGACAGCAACAGCACGCACCGGATGGCCCAGACGGTCTGAGACACGTCCTGCACTTGGTGCAGGTGCACACACCCCAGAGATCATTCTCAGGGTTAACCTCATACAAGCTCCGTAGCAAATTTCTTATGAAGGTTTTTTCTATCACAGGGATCATTTAACCCACAATCTCAGCTACATAAATACCATTCACCCATCTTATTCTAAAGACTATGCCATCAGGATCCAGCTGCTTTCAAACCACCTACACATTTTCCAACAGGTCGATTTTACTCTCTCACGACAACACAGTGATGTTCGTCAGCTGCCCACCATAAAGCCACAAAGGTCTGGGTGCAGAAACCAAAACCTGATAAGGTCACTCAAGGCCCAAAAGCATCACCTCAATGACAGCAAAATCATCCACTCTGCTTCAGAATCCAAACAATGACACACCTTGAAGGACCTTGAAAGAGCAAACAGGACAACTGCTTTCCAGGTGATAACCTCCACCAGCACTCAGCCCCATACAGATGACCTCCAGTTAATCTTGTGAGAGAGAACAATTCTGTCATTCTAAAGAGGGACAGACAAAACCACAAATGTGGAACAACTACGTCTATCCTGAATCAAGCCAGGGTTGGTACAAGAAGTTCAGTATGAAGATGACAGAAAATTGAACAACAGTGGAACAGCAGTTAACCTGACAGAACCAGGAGAGTTGAGACTGGAGGGGCCTCTGGAGATTATATAGTCAACCCCCTCCAGCAAAGCAAGGTCAAGCAGAGCAAGTTCAGTTACCCTTCCACCTATTCAGATAGTTTTCCTTCTCAACACCTACAAAAAGCTGGACATTTTTTCTACCCATCATGTTTTGTGACTTCCTTTCTGGAAATTAAAGAGTTCCAGAGGTAACACACGAGGCCCTGGGACAAGGAAAAAAGCCAGGGGAGAGGAGCACTCACTCAAATGAGCCTTGATCAACTGCTCTTTACTACCTAAAGCTCATCAAAAAGATGTGTGCTGCAAGATGGATGCAAGAAGGATGATGTGCTTGGCCGTGTGAGTCATCAAGGTTTGTTTAAAGGAACCAAAGCAAATTCTGAAGTAGAGCCTGAGACCACAGCTCATTCACAGGGTTCCCTGGCAGGCACTGCACTGAGCTCATGGCAATCAGGTCACAGGGGTGCTCACTGAGAACGTGCCACGTGACAGAAGAGGAGCAAGAAACACTCGAAAATACAACATTCAGAGAGGTGTCCCAGGGTCTCTGCAGGACCAAGGAGCAACCTGTAGCACAACAGTTCACCTCCTTTTGCAGTCCTCCAGACAGCAGCAAAACACAGCCATATCAGAGAGCCAAGAGAGAAGGAATTCTTAACTGCATGGCATTGAAACAAAGGGAACATTAGCAGGGCTTTTTAAAGCTGCTGAGATCTTTTACAGCTGCAGTTCCAGACCTAAAAGAAAAATAGTGCTTGTGGGCCAATGGGAGACAACACTACATGACAAAGCTGATTGTAAGTGCAGACGCTTCCCAAGCATAAAATGTCTGAAGCACCCATAAAAATAACAGTGCTTCCTGAAGCAAATGCTGAGATTATCAACAGCAGTGTCAAGCACAGTAAGAATATTCCAGCTAGTGGCTAAAGCATCATGGCTGCAAAGGGGAGCAGATGGACCATGACATACAGGAATAGCCCAATTTCAGCCTTAAAGCATCAGATTTATGTTTGACCTCTTTCCTAAGGGTAGGGACTGTGGCAGCTAACTGTCCCTTCCCTGTTGCCCTCCACCTTCAAGCCACATCTACCCTGGGCAGCAGGAGCAAAGGCAGGTGGATGGGCACAGTGAGCAGATTTGATCACTTGTGTGATGGGGGGTCCCAGTCCAGAACCCTCCTGGCCCACCTCATCATCAGCACAGCACTTCCTGCCTCACACTCCTTGAGGAGGAACACCTGGATGCATCAGCCTTCACAGAGCAGACTCCCAGAACAAAAACTTCTCAATTTGGGTTTAAACCTCATTTAAAAGACACTGATGCTTCAAGTCAGCAGAAACTGCAGGGGCCTGGCCCTTTATAGGTCTTGCTGCATTTTCCCATCTCAGGCAAAGGCTGAGCAAAAGGATAAACCAGGCAATCAGAGTTTGGGGCCTCTCTACAGAGTTTCAGCAGTATGGGTCCATCTTCAGTTCTCTCTCCTTCAGCCAGCCCACTGCGACCAGTGACCAGTACCTTCCCAGCAGTAACAACACCCTGGAAAGGCAGCAGGCACATGACTAATTTCTGTAAGTTAATTCTGTCTTCCAAATTGCTAGAAGAGTAGGACACGGCACAGCCAGTTTCGTGGGACTCCACTGCTAATACACAGCACATCATGTGACATGGTCTCACTATGGACAGCTCAGAAGAGCACGGAGGAGGAACAGAACCAACTCAATCCAAACAGCTGGCTCGAGTTTCCAGAAAGCCAGTAAATCCCTCTGTAAGGCTGGCAACGTGACCTGTTAGGTGACTCAAGACATTGCAATATAAATAGAAGACCCTGGAACCCCTTCAAGGAAGTCAATCCTTTTGATTTCGGATGTCTGTGTACTTCTGCCAGCATCACAACACCTCTGTTTACAGCTGACACTGTTGCATAAGCAGCATCTCAGCTGACATCCTTCAGAGTTTAAGTACTTCATTAAAACTGCTCAAGAAACAGGTTATGTCAGAACTAAAATGATCCCATCAATCTGAAAAGAATCAAATGCAGAAATACACTAAATGCACATGCAAGTGAACACACCCTCAAAGATGCTTTACTCCTTCCTAAGCTCAGCTGTTTCCCTAGTCACGTGTCCCAGGCCTTTTACAGAGGGACTCCAACCTCCTGTCACAGAGATCCACAACAAACACTACCAAAAACTCTGTGCTATATCCCTAAAGATACTTTTAGAAGATTCCAGATCCTAAACCTCCACACAGGGATGTGACACAACAAACAAGAAAGGTCACCAGTTTAACTGGTGCTGTCAAGTCCCACTATGCATTCAACTTGCTACAACAAACCTCTATCCCCTGTTTTTCTTAGGCCAGTGAGCTCCTGAAAGATTGATCAATAGATCTCTTGGAAGAGTTTAGTAGACATTCAAAATACCAAGGAACAGGGAAAATGCAAGGAGAAAGATTATTCTTTTTCTGGATATTATACTAAAAGTAAGATGAGAGCTAAAAAGTCTCTCTGAGCAGAGCACTAATTCTGCTGGGGTATCTCAAAACATCCAGTCTCATGGGAGACAAAATAAGTTTAGCAGTTAAGGGCTGAAGACAACTGAGGTATCAAGTCATTTAGGGAAACACACAGCAACCATCACTGAAAGGCAGCAAATTCACTTGCTATTTTAAGGATTCCTGTTTTCATAACGCTCTCCAAAACCAAGGAGAAGTAGCACTTTGTGCAGTATCTGGAGGGATGTTTGACAATTTTTTATACATGAAAGAGTCACTATAGAAAGTTGCTATTACTCACGGACACTCAAGATTTCAAATTAAGAAGTGGAATCCTACCACATCATCTTCTTCACTTAATAACGTTTTCCCCACTACCATAACTGGGAGTGCCATGCTTGTTAGAGCAAGGGAGTATTTAACAGTAAAAAGTAAGGATTTTTTTTTTCAACTTTGAACCCCCCAAACACCTGCTCAGCTATTAGCAGGTGCTGGCTCAGCTGGGAGGCGTTAACCACAACAGAGCACTTCAGATTTTACTTTTTTCATTAGTTATGCATGTGTTAATCTTGCAGGTAGGAAATGTCAATAAAACGAGGGAAAAAGTGCACATATATTTTTCAGTAATATTTACCAGTCATGCTGCTGTCTCTGTTTATTCCATTATGAAGTTTACAGTGAACAAACGCTGCATCAAACAACCACGATCCAAAGAGGTTCAAGATGCTGTTAACCTTTGGCCTGCGAGGAGCTGGGAGCGGCCGTGGCTCTGAGCTTGTCTGGTTTGGGCTAGAGAGTGGAGAAGTAGAGGAGGGTTGGTGCTGCACTTTTGAAGTATGTGCAGTAGTTACCTGTTCAAACAGAAGAACAGATCAGCTCCTGGAAGCAAGCAAATTCCTTCCTCTAAGCGAGGAAGCTACGCAAAGGGTCGGCTGCTCAGAGAGAGAGAGAGAGAGCACGAGCTCTTACAGTGCTGGTTTTCATGGTGGCCTTGTTCACAGTCACGGCGCGGTGGCGGCGGTTGTGGGGCGGGGTGGTGTTGGTGGCGGTGTTCTGGGGCATGCTCAGCCTGTTCACGGGCGTCGGCGGAGCGCTGTCCGACCGCGGCCGGGAGATGCCTGTGGGGCACGAACAGAGCAGCCTGTCAGCAATAACGCACCTGGTAGCGCAGCAGCAACAACCCACCAGGCAGCCTGTAAGCAACAACCCACCGGGCAGCCTGTAAGCAACAACCCACCGGGCAGCCCGGCAGCCACAGCCCAGGTGCTCACACACAGCGCCGCCTCCTCCTGCCCCCCAGAACGGCAGCGACAGCAAAAACACCTTTCCCCTCTTGCTGTTAGCAGAAATAAAAGCACGGCAAACGAGAACAGTGATTACATCAGATAAGCAAGACACCAAAGGACCCCCCCCGGCTTAAGGCTGTGGGACGTGACACACAGCAGGAACCAGTCCAGAAGCTGGGACAGGAGCAAGGTTCACCTGCCAAAGCCAATTCACAGCTCACTCCTGCCAAAATTCAGATGCATCTCACCTTTGCCTTTCTTTCCCAATCATACCTCCCACACTCTGAGCCATCTCTGAGATGTCTGGCCCTTAAAGCCACCTTAGCTCACTGAATTAAGATGAAACCCATCCACCACACAGCTTTCTGCTGGGTTTCAGCTGAATCAGCTGCTGAACAGTCAAATACTAAGTCAGTACATGAGACAGGGTAAGAAAGCCAAGCAAGCTGTAATATTTCTGGCAGCAGCAGGACATTAGACCAGTTTTTTCCCAGCTTCAGGGAAATACCCATCATGTACAGAGCTACTCCTCCCAGTCAGAATCAGAACTCAACCTCTGCAAAACTTAAGGTGACAAACACCACTTCTGCCCATTTTAATGAGTACTAACACACACCCCATCTGAAAAATGAAGTGGGGGAGAGCAGTGTAGGTACATACCAGGGAGAGCAAGATAAAAACCACGTGCTTTAGCACTTGTGACAGAAGGCAGTGAACTCTCCCTTCAGCCTTTGCAGCTCCACAGTCTGCCTGAGCACACCTTCCCATCCACACCTCCAGCCTGAATTTAATTTCACTGAGAGCTCTCCTGTGCCTGAATGCATGGTAGTCTCCAGTCTCCATACTCCACGTGGGCTGTTCCCTGGGATGCTGTTCCCTGGGATGCTATTCCCCTGGGTGCTTCACCTTCCTACGTGGCATCTTCATAAGTCTGAAGTGTCCAATACACAGAACCACAGAACGGTTTGGGTTGGAAGGGACCTTAGAACCCATCCAGTCCCACCCCTGCCGTGGGCAGGGACACCTTCCACCAGCCCAGGGTGCTCCAAGCCCCGTCCAACCTGGCCTTGGACACTTCCAGGGATGGGGCAGCCACAGCTGCTCTGGGCAACCTGTGCCAGGGCCTGCCCACCCTCACAGGGAAGAATTCCTTCCCAATATCCCACCTAACTCCACTCTCTGGCAGTGGAAAGCCATTCCCCCTTGTCCTCTCCAGCTCTCTTGGGCACTGGAAGTGGCTCTAAGGTCTCCCCAGAGCCTTCTCTTCTCCAGGTTGACAGTCTCCTTCCACAGCCAGGGTTTTTTCTAAAACCATTTACGCATCTGCTCGAGTCTCCTGCAGTCTCACATCAGCTCATGCTTCTGGTAGATGACATTTGCACACATTTAAGCAAAAAAGCCGTTGGAGAGAGGCAGCTCTTCAGAGTTTACAGTGGCATCTTTTCACCAAAGAACCTTCAATAAGCATACTAAGAACGATGTTTTAAATTTCAGGTGCTCCACACTGGTATTTAAAACCGACCAGCCAATGCTTACATCTGCTTTACCTTTCAGTCCAATTTGAGCCACTCAGTTACCAGCAGACACAGAGAAGCACGACTTTTCTACTCAGCAGTAGTAGTCACCCACTAATTGTAAATTAAGTGAAACTCTCACAAAGACCTGAAGATGACACCTTATGAAAACAGGTACTGCACGTAGCAGTTGCCAAAAGAAGCTGCAGAAATACAGTGGTGAGTGCTCACAACATGCTAAAGTACAGCACTTGCACTGGTGATTAGGAAAAAATAAAAAGAATAGAAGCCTTGTTTGGGACAGAGATCCCTGTTTTATTTTAGACTTCCAATTTGTTTTGCATCTGAAACTATGACCATCTCCAGCTTCACGCATTCAAATATTACTACTGTATATACAGATTTTTTTTTTTAGAAGTAATCTGAGGTCCTTTCCCTATCAATTCCAGGATATACTTGCAAATGATAAATTGTTATTGGTGTATTTATGGAGAGCAAAGATTTAAGGAGATTAAAATAATGATTAAGTTAATATTTGTAGCTACCCATGGGTAAGACAAAAGCATTACCTAGGAATGCATCCACTAAACAGCTGATCCCACGCATGGCACGAAAGAATATTTGAGGCAGATGTTTAAGGCAGGGGTACTGATTCAGCTCTTGAGTCATCCCACTCACATTCAGAAACTGCTCCTGAAATTTGGGGGTAGAGCTAATAATGGCTGGGTTACTCAAATCCACAGGATTACTGCACACAAAGAGAGCAAAATATTTGTCAGTCAGTTTAGGAACAGCTGTTAAGATTTTAAAAATACTTGAAGATGTAATAGTTAAAGGCATTTAAATAACACCATAAACCAGCATCCAGGATCAATATGTTTCAGCTGTTACTCCCTCACTTCCTGGCTTGGCAGTACTTAATTGTATTGATTTCAAACATTACCCAAACACACTGAATAATTTTATTAAAATGAAACAAACCAGAGCATACACTTGCTAGACTAATCCTACTATCACAGTAATATTAAGTACTTCTGAGGTTTTTTGAACCCAGTTAAGAGTTCCTTACATTTTTACAGTTATTCTGGAAAGGTAAGCAATGAAGTAAATATTACCAAACAGGGACAAGAAGGAGAGTGGTTGTAAAAATTTTTCCTGACTGACACAAATCCTGAAACAGCAATTCTAAATTTTAAGAGTATAGTACTTGTGACATCAGTACCACAAATAAAGAAAAAGAGGTTTTTAGTTAGTTAAGAAGTAGATTTGAAACAGTCTATCATTTATCTAGCCTTAACTATTAAATAAAGTTTTATACGAAAAGTTTAATATTCAAGTGTTTGAAAGCATTAATGTAACGTCATTCCCAAGAATCTTTAAAACAAAACACTTGGTTCAGTTGTGCCATTAAGAAAGAGTAACATGTATGTTAAGATTAACCGTGTAGATTTCTTCAGAAAAGCTAAAGAGAAACACCCATATTAAAAATAATCTTTTGTAGGTTAAATTTAACACCCTGGACAGCAAAGGGAAGTTGTATACATCTCTCAGAGCTATTGTTCTGCTTTTCCTGTTTGCTATCTCAGAGAAACAAAATTCTATTGAACTCATTTTTCAGCTTCTCCAAAATGCCAAATAGCTAAAAGAGCTTTTAATTAACTGAACCAGTTTACATTCTGAAAGAGTCAGAGAGTTCAAAGTTGAACAACCCACTCAAGGCCTCACCCTGAGCTGCTGAAGGGCACCGGCACAAGTCTCTCATTTTATTCTATTTAGGTGCTTAATCTTGGCAATCTCCAGAGGAATGTTTCATTTGTCATTCAAATGTAAAAAGCTGATGCAAGAACAGGAACAATGGATGGCTGTAATTACAATACCTCAGCATATGTAAAAAGCGAAACCACGTTTGTGCAACGCACTCATTATCCATTTCCAGAGGAATCAGACCAGCATCTTCATCGGGAATCTTGAACGGAGGAAACGAAGGTCCGTATGTAAAACGCAGCAACCTAGAAAGCAAGGCACACACACCTGTCCTTCAGTGCACACTCCTCAAAACTTTAACAGTGCATTTGAACCCCACAGGTATCAGCAGCCCACAGGTGAACCCCCAGGCAACAGCACAATATCCCAAGTTTTCCCAGAGCTCCCCATTTTATACAGTCATTCTGATAGCTTTGAATGGTGCACACCTTGAGCCTGCCTAAAGCTCCAGCCAACTCCAAGAGCAGCCCTGGGCAGCTCTCCCATTGCTTAGCCAAAGGGGTCACCAATTAACAGCCACATGCAGAGCTGACAGAATGCTACATAAAAAGGAAGAGTGGAAAAAGTTACAAATAAATAAATAAATATTAAAAAAGGAAGGAATTTAAGCCGTTATCCTCACAGCTCTTTAGCACAGGTGTTCAATGACACCAGCAAGTCATATTAGGTTACAGGTCTAAATTCCAGCTCCTGGCTGATGACCTGCACTGTACACCAGCACTGAACAGCACCCAGTGAGGTCCTACAAGCAGCACAGGACTTGCAACCCCTGGATGAGGGAGTTCTTCAAAACAGATGCACCACGACTGTCAGGGGCTGGGACCTACAGACCAGCCAAGAGCCACGAGGACACTGCTGGGATAAACGGAGATCTTTCTCTAGAAGTGCTGCAACTACCTGAACAGTCACCAGTGACCTTCCCTCCCTCAGCTCCTTCTGCCTAACCTGACCCCTGCTTCGCACCAAATTCTCCAAATTACAGTTTCCTGATCAACATAACCCTGATGTTCTCTAAAGGGATGGAAGAGACCTGTCTTGAACCTTCTGAATATCCCAGCATTCCCAGAAATCAGTTTGTGTGTTTCCCTAAGCTACCTTGCCTGTAAGGATCAAGAAATGTCCTGTTCATCATATTATTCACTTATAAAGCAAAGGTTTTCCAGAAATGAAGTCATTACAAGCAGCAGAAGAGGAGGAGAGAAGTATTCTATGGTTGGCCCCTAAACCAAAAGTCTAACAGGCTGAATTCCCATCTTCCACTTCTCCCAGAACTGGGCACTACAGTAACCTGCAGCCAATTAACTCAAGTGTCTGAAATCAGAGTCCATAACAGTACCGAGCCTGAAAGAAAAGCAGAAGAGCCTGAGGCAAGAGGAACTGCCACCCCTGTGCATAACACAGGGCAGGGGGACCTGTGGCCCAGCCAGGTGCCTGGACACTCAGAGACACAGCACAGCACCAGGGAGGAAGAGCTGAGACTTGCACACACTGGGACTGTGAGGGGAGAAAAGCCCAGGGGTCTTTTGGTGGGGGTCCCTCCTTGGAGGCACCAGCTCCAGCTGTTCCTGTGTGCCTGCACTGTCACTAAATTGC